GTTGAATTTGCAGTTTAACATAATGTACTTTTGCATCAGAATTGACAGTAGTACCCTATTTTGTTTTTTCCTTCTTTTTGTCTGTACATTTGACAGCTTTGCTGCCTTGTTTTTTTTTCATCATCAATTTTCAGGGTGCCCCCCCCCCCCCCCACACACACACACACACACACACAATTCACATATCTTTTTCCTTTTGTAAGAAAAATCAAATTTCTCTGTGGTCTTTGGTGAAGTCTATATTCCTATTATTTAATTTGACTTAATACTCGTTTCTAGATTTCTGCTATTAGATTTTTATCTTATTCTTTATTTCCCTTTTTTTCAGGTCATTCGTCGAAGAAAGTGCACCACTAAAGCAGTACAACCAGTGCATTTGAACATATCTGGCAACAAGCGTAAGCTAGTTTCGTTTTCGCATATGGATAATTTTAAGAAACCAGTCATTACATGATATACCTTGTTCCCAAATGCTGAATGATTTGTTTGATTATGATAAAGTCTGCAAACTCATAATATTTGGATCAATCAACTGGAAAGTGGGAGAAGTATAGCTATGCGTTTGTTTTCTCCATATAAAAGCCCTGCCATGATTGTTTATCCAAGACCTCATACTACTTCCTGGTCTGCTGTTTATCAGTTATTTGCGAATGAATACCTTGACTTTTGTCTGTAGTCTCTTAACACAAACACCATAAACTGTCTGAGTGTGAATTTTCAATATATGTTACACAATTTGGAATCAGAAAGCTGGTTATTCTGTCTTTATATGATTTCAACAGTATTTAGTCTCCAAATTTAATGTGCATTTATTCTAAAAAGTGGAATGCAAATCCCTGTCCATATTTGCAGAGATAGGTATTCACCCAGAGCTTGGTATGTACATTGGAAAGATAGTGCCTGGAACAGCTGCTGCCAGAGAGAGCAATCTGGCCGTGGGAGATCGTCTTTTGACTGTGAGTACAACTGTAGCATTGCGGAGCTTGATTATCAAGAATATCAGCATTCTGTACCAAATTCATTGCAATGTTTAATCTTCTCTCACTCTTATTTAAAAAACATTTGCCATTTAAAATTATCCTGAGATAAGTCAAATTGCCTAACATCTTTTTTGTACCTACTTAAAATCTTATGAGTATACATTTCCTGTCAAAAACTGCCCCCTCGCCCAGGTGAAGCTGTTTTAGATAACACCTCTTTGAAATTTTTCATGTTGAATAGTTATTAAAGATATTTTCATATTCTTTTGACAGGTAAATGGTCGCTCAGTAGATGGAAAATCTGTGTCAGATGTACTGTCCATTATGGAGAGCAACAGCGATTGTCTTAGTCTCAATGTACAGAAGTTTATTCCGGTGCCAAGTTCATTTCTCCCATCTGGGTGCCAGAGCAACCAAAACCTTATGGAGGGGATACAAGCCACCCCTCAGACTGTAGAAACTACCATCGGCTCACAACGATTTCCTAAATTTTGGATCGACAACAGTTCAAAGCAGAACAGTGCTTCTAATAAAGGATCTCAGTCGGGGAGTTCCGAGTGCTCCACTCCAGGTCACACACCGAGAAAGTTTGGAAAGAAAGACGAAAACAAGGAAAATATTCCCGAGAAACGGAGTTCTCATCATGAGAACTTCATCACCTTAGCATGGGACAAACTTGTGAATCGTTCCAGGCATAAACAAGAGAAAGAGCGACTCAGCAAAAGTGGCACTGCCATCACCGACACCAGTCTTAAAACTGCAGAGGAAGATGCTCTTACACAGCTCAATTCGGTGCTGGACGATATTGACTACAAACCCCGTGTAGAAAAACGAAAGCGTGTGAAGATTGAAGAGAATGGAGGTACCTGGCCAAAATATAGGGGTGCTTTAGAATTCACCAGTGCGGGGACCATTTCACTGGTACCAGGGGAGCACAAGAAAAAAGAGCGACCAGGAATACCAGAGATGTTGTCACAGCAAACTCCAAATCAACAACAACAGCTGCAAGAGCAACAGAAACAGCAACCGCAACAATATGCATCCCCAAGATCAGCTTATCCAAAGATGACTCAAAATATCCCTGGAGTTTCTTCCATTGGACGGGACACAAACAAGTCCCATCATTTCCCAGTGAAAGTCCATAGTCCGCAGAACTCCTCTGACATGTCTGCCAAATACGGACCCAGTTTTGTGGTGGAGAAACCCCCACAAAAACCACTTCATTCATCGTCACAGCACGGCCATAGTAGCAAGCCAAAGTATCCCAAAGCCACAGTGAAGCACAGTTCAGTAGACGAGATCAGCTCTGATGGAGAAAAGCGTTTTGAACCGCTTCATTACCCGAACACTTCTACACCTGACATGGACTTCTCAGTCACTTCAGGACACAACAATTATTATCCCTCGCCACGACATAGGCCAACGTCAGCGCCATCCAACAAACGAGGCCCAGGCCACCGACCCCCAATTAATGCCACCTACAGTAGTCCCATCGCAAAGCCAGGGTCGTTGGAGGTTCAACCCATGTACCTACCAAACCAACAAAAGACTTACGGCACTCAGCCAACTTCTCCACGAGATAAGATTTCGCCATTATCAAACAAGCTGCAGGAACGAGCTGCAGGGTACCACCCAGCTTCTTACCAAGGCATGGTGAAGTCACAGCCTGTATATACTCCAAGGTCAGTTTTCAACTCTGCTTCTTCCTCATCTTGAAACTAAGAGATTTACTTGCAGTTAAACTGGGGCTCTGCTTTATATTGAGTAGGTTTCCATGTAAGTAGTTCTGTATCTGAGGTTCTATTATTTCTGTTGTTCTTGTTTCCAGTTCAACAGCCCACCATCGGCGAACATCCCCCAATGTGTATGGACAACCTCAGTCAGTTGGTCCTCTCTTCCCATCTACTAGTCAACCAACTTCCCCGCGAGTTACGTCTCCTCCTGGAATTCACCAACGTCCCGAGCCACTGAGGTCTTATATACGCCATGAACCCTACAGTACATCTCCCTCGCCATCATTTGTAAGTTTAAATTTCCTAATTGTTCTGCTTGCTTTGGTTATGGTTTCTGCCTTTGTGAAGTGTTATTAAGGCTATAGAATATTATAAATATACAGTGGATTTCTGTTTGCCTGAAGGAATGTTCCTTTGGATCAGATAATTGATATGGCTGAAAACCTGTAGCTAATAGGGCTCACATAACAGTTGGTCAAAATTTTCAGCATTTAAATACTGAAACCATGTTAGAGGAAGCAAGGAGAAATTAACAGTTGGTGAGGCCTCCTCCTGTAATCTTGTGAAACCATGAAAGTCAAACATTTTGCCCATGCAAGCACTATTTAAAATGTGTTATGTACATATTGGGTGATTATATGATGTTTAACCGTATTGGTATTGGGTGAATATATGATGTTTTACCATATTGATATTGCGTCTTGTTTAACCATATGCATGTGTATTGATGTTAACAGAGCAGCAGTACAGTGGACAGAGCCACCCCGACCCCAAGCGAGGAACAGTTTCCATACGGAGGCGTCTCTGCTCCTAAAGCGTACCACAGCAGTGGACAGTTGGAGCACAGCGATGGTTTCTCAACCTTCCCAAAACGAGGCCATCATCACCCGCATCACACTGCTCGCATTCGCATTCCTTCGCAAGATTCTGTCAATAATTCCGTCAGCAAGATCATTTGGTCTGCTGGCTCTTGTAAGTGAAAAGTACATTGTCTTACTGTGTGAAAATCTGAAATCTCAGTCTATTATAAAGTAACTAAGAGAAGAAAGTTTGTATGTGTGTGACAGTGGGAGTGAAATCAGTAGTTTGATGTTTGTGTAGTTTATTCTTAAAATGAAAAAAATTATTAGGATATAAGTCCACAGCTTTGATATATTTCTGTGTCCCATCACACTGAGTCCATTTTCCCTAGTTTGCTTTTGGAAACTTTTCATTGTATTAGAATGTAGAATTTCTATTTGACTGTGGTATATTTCAGTGTCAGATCGCAGCAGTCCCATGTCACCATATTTACACCTTGAACATCCTGGCACTAACAGCTCAACAGGCTCCATTCCTTCCGTTGAACCTCCCAGGACAAGAAAGAAGTAAGCTAAAACATAGGACTTGAAGCAAAAGTCATGTCAGACTACAGATTACAGAGCAACTGATATAACAAAAGTTTGATATGCAGTTGATATTGGTGACTTTCATTAGGTATCAATTGACTATTAACTCTAATAAAAGCACGATGAAGTGAATATGACAGTGTTTGCACTGTAGCTCTATATATCAAGTATGGTAGGTCTATAGTTAGTGCAAATTTACAAGGCACACAATTTGTTATTTCTTAAAATGTTGTTCTCAATTTCTTTAGACCTGAGATTGGGGAGACCAGACATATCAGCATTGAGAAAACATTTCAACCACTGGGTATTCAAATCAAGCCAGGGAAGAATGGCAGCGGCATCTTTATATCTTCCGTGGGACAGAACAGCCTGGCCAAGCACTATGGTCTGGAAGTTGGAGACCAGATTCTGGAGGTTAGTAGAAGTTTCATGTCAGCAATAGGTTCTTTTGTTATAAAAACTGTATGAGGGTTTTTATATATATGTAAATTGTAGTTATGCTGTATATAAATTTACGGATTGGTAATATTCCATTAGTAAGTTGATTTCTTTGGTAAGGTCAACACAATTACACTGCAGTGCACAATATCTGTGGGACAGCATGTAAGTGGTATGTTACTGCAGGTTTTGAAAGTTACCACATGAAATGCAGTCCTTTAAATAAATCTTATGCTTTATCCTGAAAAAATGTTTCATTGTTAGGATAAAAGCAATTCCTGGGTTACTCAGTTATCTATTTGGATATCTTTAAACATAAAAAGCAATCCAAGACAACATTTGCTTTATATAAATAATTTGGATCTTAATGATGTTTTGGGGTTTTTGTTTCCAGGTGTGTGGTCTTAGTTTAAGAACTGCCAATGAGACCCAGGCTGCCATAGTATTGAGGCAATGTGGAGACAGCATGACAATGCTTGTGCAATACCTGCCTGATAGTGAGTTGTGTTTTTGTCTTTGGAGGAGAGGGGAATGAAATAGAGATCTATAGTAAAGTAAAAGTATAGCAATTGTAAAGGGATGCTAAAATGGAATTTTTATTTGTGAAAATTTTTTTTAATTATTTAAAATATTATGCTGTAGATTCAAGCTAATTTTATGTTTGAATCAAAAGTCCATTTTGCAATATCCAATTAAATATATTATCTATGTATAGAGTGGTTTATTATGATGATGATGTATTTGATATAAATTCCTAATCATTCTTCCTTTCAGAATTTGAAGACAATGGAGAAGATAGTGGGTCCAGTCAGTCCTCTAGGGCCACCTCTCCCGCCACCTCCCCCAAGCTGGTAAAGCATGGCAGCAATGAGACCATCACTTCCTCTACACCAACTAATTCACCAAGAAACAATCCAAATAACCAGAGGTACAGCTTGTATAGTGTCAATGATATTTAATTTTTTAAGTAGAATTTGTGTACCAAAATCTTTACATACTGATCTTCCTATCGAATGCTAGAATATTCCAATGGAATAATATTTAACACACTGGGCTTTGATATTATATGATGTGATGTGTTTTTGTGTTACTGTAAAAATCTGTTTTTATTGATGTTTGTAAAATATGCTGAGAAAAGCTGCTTTAGGTTGCTGCAAATCAGCGCTCAATATGTCGGGTTGTCTCAGGCAAAAAATCTGCCATAAATTGATCTTGAACTATCAAAAATGAGTGACTCACTGTGGCGCCCTCTATAGTTCCAGTAGCCAAGACAGCCATGTTCCAATGGAGCCCAGGTTTGTGTTCCTCCAGAAGTCTGCTGCCTCCAGCCTGGGTATCAGCCTGATAGGGGGCAACGCTGTGGGCATCTTTGTTCACGAAGTCCAGAAGGACAGTGTGGCATGTGGACCAAATGGCTTACGATGTGGAGACCAGATACTAGAGGTATTTACTGACTGAACAGCAATGACAGTCTTTTATGCACTGTCTTTGAAACCTGTGTATTGAGTTGCCACCATCTTGTCATTGTTCTTTGCTGATGCACTGAGGGAAACTCACACATTTTTCTTTCCAAATTATTTGTAGCTCTGCAGTGTGGAATAATATGGGATTGGCCTCCTAATTTATTATGGTAGATTTATTTTTGGAAAAAATGAAGTACGTATATCAAAATGATTTTATTTTACTCTGTTAAACCAAGTACCGTGTTTAGTGTATGTGGTGACACTAAAGTCTACAAACCATTAAGGTTAAGGTACATCTGGTCATTTCAGTTCAATGGTGTTGATCTCCGGTCAGCCACAGCAGAGCAGGCAGCCCATGAATTGTCCAAACCTTCTGAAAGAGTGACCATTCTAGCCAGATATGATATAGTCAGTAAGTATCATCAGAAAAACACAGACATTTTACCATGTCCATAAATAAATGAGTGGGGCACTGGTTTGTCAGTTTTTTATCTTGAATTTATTTATTTATTTATTTATTTATTTATTTATTTATTTATTTATTTATTTATTTATTTATTAGTTTTGTTTTTGGAAAGTGTGCAGATTAGCCACAACTCGGAACATTTGAATACATCATAAATATCAGTATTCAACAGTTATGCAGTGAAATACTTCTTAGATATTTTTGTGGAATAGTAATGAAATTAAACCTTTACAACTGTGACTATTGTTGTGTAGCAAATTCCTCCATGTATTTTAACAACAACCATTGACCAAAGTGAGTCATTATTTTTATAACTGTTCAATAATCCATCCACAGGATATAACAAAATAAGAGACCAGCCAGGAGATTCATTTTATATCCGTACCCTATTTGATCGCCAAGCTGAAAATGAAGGGGAACTGAGCTTTAAGCGTGATGATGTTCTGTACATAGAAGACACTTTATACAATGGCATGCCTGGCACATGGAAAGCATGGCTTGTGGATGACGAGGGCAACAAATTACAGTGTGGGACCATTCCTTCCAAATACAGGTAAGATTGGTTGTGTTCTTTTGTAAGGTTCTCAGGATTATGATTTTTAAACAAGTTGGGTATTCTGTTTTAGCAACTGCATTTAATTGTACGGTTGTTTTTATAAATACTCAAAGATAATGGAATTGGCCAGATGGAATAATTTCTTTCATGTGTTTCTCCTGATTTAAGTAAAGAACCAGGCTAATTCACCCTCCTTGTTGTCTCTTTTAGAATGGAGGATGAGCTTGCCATGAAAAGGAGCCTTTCTGAATCCTTGCAAGAGGAGGAATTGAAAAATGCCTCCTCTCGTCGAGGATCTGCCACAGCGAGACGCAGTTTCTTCCGTCGGAAGAAACACCAGAGAAATAATTCCAAGGATAGCCGTGAGCTGGCCTCTTTCTCAGATGTCTCCATAAATACAGATTCGGTGCCTATTTTAGATGGTAAGTTTCTATAGAAAAAAATAACTTGCCGAAGAATGCAGAAATTAGCTGAATGATTTCAGGTTCTGGAATTGTCATTTTTACCTCAGTTTATGTCCATCCATTCAAGCACATAACATTTACAGATTTACTATTAAATCATTATATTTTGTCTGTACAGCTTGTTAAGAGCTTTTCTTCTTGATCTTTTACTTTTGACATTTCATAAGAACATATTAGCACTGGAATTGTCATTTTAGCTTGGGGGAAGTGTAACACATTTTTACTAAGTGATAAGCTATGCTCATTTCTATATTTGCAGATGGAACTGTGCTGACATATCAGAGAGTGGAGAGATTGGACTGTAAGTATTGCCCAGAACACAATTACACTGGAAAAAAGAAATTAGGAATGACATCAAATAACAAAGGATTAGTAGTATCTTTCTATAAATTTTAATGTGTTTGAGTGATAATTAGCTAATGATTTTGATTAAAATTATATTTGTTGGTTTTAGTGTAAAGTTATTAAACTGATCATTATTTTGAAGCCTTTAATAACCTTTATAGAGAATTTTTATTCTTGTATAGCCTCAGCCAATGCCTTAAAATAAACAATATAAGAAAGAAAGGAAACCATGTCTTATATAAACTGAATCTTCTCTTCAGGTGCTGGACATGGAGGGAGGGGGCATCTTACTTATCTAATCTTAATTCAGTTCTTTTTATGTACACAATGTTGCAGAAAAAAAAAAGAAAATTGTTGTCTCTCTTTTTTTAGATAAAGTGTGTCGCCCAGTTATGATCCTTGGACCCCTGGCAGAGCCATTGATTAATAAACTTACTTCCGAGTCCCCAGACAAATATTGTCGCTGTGAATCAAGTAAGTTGTGAAAAACAACAACAAAACACTTCTGTTTTTGAGTGTGTGAAACTGTCACTGATAAGACTACAATAAAAAACGGATAGTATTTGATAGAAATGGTATTCAAGCCAGTGAGAGCATGCAAAGAGGCTTGAGACACAATTTTGCCAATGTTTTGTGCCAAATTTTGTTTAACACTGCAAGCATGTGGGATAATTGTCAAATTAAAATCAGAGCATAGGAGTTTAAAATCTTCAGTTTTAATTTTCACGAAAGATTCATTGCTCTGACATATGTATAAATAAATATTCTGGTTTTTTGATGCCACCATCTTTTTGAAACCTGAGTAATTTGCATCTTTCTCACAGTGCCAATGAAAGCCTTAGCAGGCAGTGTGGAAAAAGCATTATCTGACGGCCAGTTGGTGGACTACCGTATAAAAGACGACCATTATGAGTGCATCACTGTAGAGGCAGTCAAGCAAATTGTTGAAAAGGTAAAATTATATTAATTACAGAATTATTTTAACCAGGACTGGGTCAGATGATAACCTTGATGTTCATTTTTGCAACTTACAAATGTTAAAAAGAAGGAAGTTATGAGGGATAAGAATAATACGAAATTAAAGATAGTTTCATCTGAAAGTTTCCTCCCTTATTTTTTCCAAATGGACTTTTTTGTATCTGAATGCCTCTACAAATATTATGTTAGTTGTGTTTAATAATACTGGTTTTAGCATATTAGAGGATATAGGTAAAGGATAAAATTGTTTGCTTTCAGAATCGCCATGCCATGCTGGATGTTAGCGCCCATGCCATAGAGAGACTCCATCGCCTACAGATCTATCCCATAGTGCTTTACTGCAAACACAAGTCATCTAAAGAACTGAGGTATGCAGATTGTCTAAACCTGCCTGCAGTATGATAGCTGTATTCAAATGTTGTGGCCATTTGGACTGGTTGATTTTGTGTGTGAATGTGCTGGCAGACACAGTATTCATAAGTTTTTATTGATTGGTTGATTGAGTGAATGATTGATTGATTCTTGGGCTTTCGATGATAAATTATTTTGGTTTTACCTGCAGGGAGGTGAAGGACACAAGATTTTTACCAGAGAAGATGACCAGTAAAAGTGCAAAGCAGCTGTATGAACAGTTCCAGAAAGTAGAACAGGATTGCAGGCATTTATTTTCAAGTAAGATATTTCATGGCCTACTATTTTTTTCTTAAAAATAATACTCTCATTCATTTTCCTGTAAAAGTTAGCATTTATTTTATAATTTGAAAGTTCATATTTCATTATTTTCATTAAAAAGTATGGTATATGCCTCCTTAATTTGCATTATAATATGTTTGAAAGTATGATAAAACATTATCCTTCAAAATGAACATTATGGTTTGAAGTTGCTCATACATTCAAACATATATGTTTTGAGTATGAGTAGCAGTAACTAGTAAGCAGTGAAAAATTTCCACATTTTGAAACCCACGTTTGTATAGTTAACCTACAGTTCATTTTCAATAGTTTTTCACTTTTAAATTTGTTAAGGGTATGTGTAAAGTCAGCTCTGATTTTATGTACACAAGGCCTAAAATTCAGATCAGTGGGATTAATAGCATGTTTTGTTCTCTTCATTCAGGTATGGTCCAAGGGGGCAATAGCTTGGCGTACATGTCCACCCAGATCAAGTCAGCCATTGACATTGAGCAGAAGAAGACCATTTGGGTGCCATCGGGGAATATCTGAGGCACAGTTTTCGAGGCAAATGTCTGTCAAACTTTTAAAGAAGGATGCTTTCACAGAAGATTGCCACTGCATTGGTATTGGAGTTTGATGATGGTTGACAAAGAAGCAAAATAAACATAATGGACAAATTCTCATGCATAGATTGTGAAAGGAAACTCTCCTTTGGTTTTCAGGATTCCCACAATGCTTCAACGGAATGGTTTTAATGGACAGTTTGGGGATAAAAAGCTCTTTTCACCACCAGGTGAACAGTTTACTTATAACTTTCACAGAAATCTTATATTGGTCGTGGGTGTTTTACAAAAATGTTGATCGTTTCTCATTGAATGTGAAATATACGATGCACATTATCTCTATACACATGACTGACATATGAATCTGCTCATTAAAAAAAGCCATTCCTCTTTTCACAATTGATAGAAAAACAAACCTCAGCAATATGTATTTAATTTTCGAAAATGGTTTATTTTTATGTCAGAGCATGTGGTGCTTTTCATGTTGCTTGATTGCCAAACTTTATTAGGTGGACATAAATGTGACTCTTGGCAAAACATGCTTGAAGGAGGGTACAAGAAGCTGTAAGAAAACAGACTTACACCAAGAAAATACACTTTTTATGCCATGACAAACTGTTTCAAGACAAACGGAAATATGATCAGAAAATCAAATAAATGTTTATTCAAAATGTACAATGGTGAGCTTAAATGGCATAGTGAGATGTAGTTTTTAGATAATAATTTAGCTGTAGTGTCATTCAGGCTAGCTGTGGCATGCAGCCCTTGCCTGCGGTGGCGGGTTGAGGCATAGCATGTTCCATTGACGTACTGCAGAAAAGCCTTGATATTTGATGGTGTAATGTAAAAGGGCTTTTACTGCAATCAAAACATTCATATTGATCTCATTGCCACGCCAAAGGCTTTTTGATGTGTTTTTCCCTGCCACAGGGTGATGTGAGTGAAGTGGCTTATTAAATTGGAGTTATAGATGCAGTTGACTTTAGAAAAGTGATGTGGGGATTTTACCATGGTTTTTTCCAGTTTTGCACGTGTTACATAAGAATGTAAGCGTGGGCAATTGACCTTTTTGTTTGTTTGTTTTTTTCTTTATGATTAAGCTGGTCCCAGTTTGCTTTATATGTGAAGAAGTAGCAAACTTTCCACTCTCTCTCTCCCTCTCTCAGCAAACTGTTCTAATTCAGAAGTGGAACATCCAAGTTGCTGTCANAACAGTTGGTCAAAATTTTCAGCATTTAAATACTGAAACCATGTTAGAGGAAGCAAGGAGAAATTAACAGTTGGTGAGGCCTCCTCCTGTAATCTTGTGAAACCATGAAAGTCAAACATTTTGCCCATGCAAGCACTATTTAAAATGTGTTATGTACATATTGGGTGATTATATGATGTTTTACCATATTGATATTGCGTCTTGTTTAACCATATGCATGTGTATTGATGTTAACAGAGCAGCAGTACAGTGGACAGAGCCACCCCGACCCCAAGCGAGGAACAGTTTCCATACGGAGGCGTCTCTGCTCCTAAAGCGTACCACAGCAGTGGACAGTTGGAGCACAGCGATGGTTTCTCAACCTTCCCAAAACGAGGCCATCATCACCCGCATCACACTGCTCGCATTCGCATTCCTTCGCAAGATTCTGTCAATAATTCCGTCAGCAAGATCATTTGGTCTGCTGGCTCTTGTAAGTGAAAAGTACATTGTCTTACTGTGTGAAAATCTGAAATCTCAGTCTATTATAAAGTAACTAAGAGAAGAAAGTTTGTATGTGTGTGACAGCGTGAGTGAAATCAGTAGTTTGATGTTTGTGTAGTTTATTCTTAAAATGAAAAAAATTATTAGGATATAAGTCCACAGCTTTGATATATTTCTGTGTCCCATCACACTGAGTCCATTTTCCCTAGTTTGCTTTTGGAAACTTTTCATTGTATTAGAATGTAGAATTTCTATTTGACTGCGGTATATTTCAGTGTCAGATCGCAGCAGTCCCATGTCACCATATTTACACCTTGAACATCCTGGCACTAACAGCTCAACAGGCTCCATTCCTTCCGTTGAACCTCCCAGGACAAGAAAGAAGTAAGCTAAAACATAGGACTTGTAGCAAAAGTCATGTCAGACTACAGATTACAGAGCAACTGATATAACAAAAGTTTGATATGCAGTTGATATTGGTGACTTTCATTAGGTATCAATTGACTATTAACTCTAATAAAAGCACGATGAAGTGAATATGACAGTGTTTGCACTGTAGCTCTATATATCAAGTATGGTAGGTCTATAGTTAGTGCAAATTTACAAGGCACACAATTTGTTATTTCTTAAAATGTTGTTCTCAATTTCTTTAGACCTGAGATTGGGGAGACCAGACATATCAGCATTGAGAAAACATTTCAACCACTGGGTATTCAAATCAAGCCAGGGAAGAATGGCAGCGGCATCTTTATATCTTCCGTGGGACAGAACAGCCTGGCCGAGCATTATGGTCTGGAAGTTGGAGACCAGATTCTGGAGGTTAGTAGAAGTTTCATGTCAGCAATAGGTTCTTTTGTTATAAAAACTGTATGAGGGTTTTTATATATATGTAAATTGTAGTTATGCTGTATATATATATATATATATATACAGCATAACTACAATTTACGGATTGGTAATATTCCATTAGTAAGTTGATTTCTTTGGTAAGGTCAACACAATTACACTGCAGTATACAATATCTGTGGAACAGCATATAAGTGGTATGTTAATGCAGGTTTTGAAAGTTACCATGTGAAATGCAGTTCTTTAAATGAATCCTAAGTTTTACCCTGAAAATATGTTTCATTGTCAGGAACTTGAATAAAAGCAATTCAGGGGTTACTCTGTTATTTATTTGGATATCTTTAAACATAAAAAGCAATCCAAGACAACATTTGCTTTATATAAATAATTTGGATCTTAATGATGTTTTGGGGTTTTTGTTTCCAGGTGTGTGGTCTGAGTTTAAGAACTGCCAATGAGACCCAGGCTGCCATTGTATTGAGGCAATGTGGAGACAGCATGACAATGCTTGTGCAATACCTGCCTGATAGTGAGTTGTGTTTTTGCCTTTTTAGGAGAGGGGGATGAAATAGAGATCTATAGTAAAGTAAAAGTATAGCAATTGTAAAGGGATGCTAAATGGAATTTTTATTTGTGAAAATTTTTTTTTAATTATTTAAAATATTATGCTGTAGATTCAAGCTAATTTTATGTTTGAATCAAAAGTCCATTTTGCAATATCCAATTAAATATATTATCTATGTATAGAGTGGTTTATTATGATGATGATGTATATGATATAAATTCCTAATCATTCTTCCTTTCAGAATTTGAAGACAATGGAGAAGATAGTGGGTCCAGTCAGTCCTCTAGGGCCACCTCTCCCGCCACCTCCCCCAAGCTGGTAAAGCATGGCAGCAATGAGACCATCACTTCCTCTACACCAACCAATTCACCAAGAAACAATCCTAATAACCAGAGGTACAGCTTGTATAGTGTCAATGATATTTAATTTTTTAAGTAGAATTTGTGTACCAAAATCTTTACATACTGATCTTCCTATCGAATGCTAGAATATTCCAATGGAATAATATTTAACACACTGGGCTTTGATATTATATGATGTGATGTGTTTTTGTGTTACTGTAAAAATCTGTTTTTATTGATGTTTGTAAAATATGCTGAGAAATGCTGCTTTAGGTTGCTGCAAATCAGCGCTCAATATGTCGGGTTGTCTCAGGCAAAAAATCTGCCATAAATTGATCTTGAACTATCAAAAATGAGTGACTCACTGTGGCGCCCTCTATAGTTCCAGTAGCCAAGACAGCCATGTTCCAATGGAGCCCAGGTTTGTGTTCCTCCAGAAGTCTGCTGCCTCCAGCCTGGGTATCAGCCTGATAGGGGGCAACGCTGTGGGCATCTTTGTTCACGAAGTCCAGAAGGACAGTGTGGCATGTGGACCAAATGGCTTACGATGTGGAGACCAGATACTAGAGGTATTTACTGACTGAACAGCAATGACAGTCTTTTATGCACTGTCTTTGAAACCTGTGTATTGAGTTGCCACCATCTTGTCATTGTTCTTTGCTGATGCACTGAGGGCAACTCACACATTTTTCTTTCCAAATTATTTGTAGCTCTGCAGTGTGGAATAATATGGGATTGGCCTCCTAATTTATTATGGTAGATTTATTTTTGGAAAAAATGAAGTACGTATATCAAAATGATTTTATTTTACTCTGTTAAACCAAGTACTGTGTTTAGTGTATGTGGTGACACTGAAGTCTACAAACCATTAAGGTTAAGGTACATCTGGTCATTTCAGTTCAATGGTGTTGATCTCCGGTCAGCCACAGCAGAGCAAGCAGCCCATGAATTGTCCAAACCTTCTGAAAGAGTGACCATTCTAGCCAGATATGATATAGTCAGTAAGTATCATCAGAAGAACAAAGACATTTTACCATGTCCATAAATAAATGAGTGGGGCACTGGTTTGTCAGTTTTTTATCTTGAATTTATTTATTTGTTTGTTTGTTTGTTTGTTTTTTGGAGTGTGTGCAGATTAGCCACAACTCAGAACATTTGAATACATCATAAATATCAGTATTCAACAGTTATGCAGCGAAATACTTCTTAGATATTTTTGTGGAATAGTAACGAAATTAGACCTTTACAACTGTGACTACTGTTCCTCCATGTATCTTAACAACAACCATTGACCAAAGTGAGTCATTATTTGTATAACTGTTCAATAATCTATCCACAGGATATAACAAAATAAGAGACCAGCCAGGAGATTCATTTTATATCCGTACCCTGTTTGATCGCCAAGCTGAAAATGAAGGGGAACTGAGCTTTAAGCGTGATGATGTTCTGTACATAGAAGACACTTTATACAATGGCATGCCTGGCACATGGAAAGCATGGCTTGTGGATGACGAGGGCAACAAATTACAGTGTGGGACCATTCCTTCCAAATACAGGTAAGATTGGTTTTGCTCTTTCGTAAGGTTCTCAGGATTATGATTTTTAAACAAGTTGGGTATTCTGTTTTAGCAACTGCATTTAATTGTACGGTTGTTTTTATAAATACTCAAAGATAATGGAATTGGCCAGATGGAATAATTTCTTTCATGTGTTTCTCCTGATTTAAGTAAAGAACCAGGCTAATTCACCCTCCTTGTTGTCTCTTTTAGAATGGAGGATGAGCTTGCCATGAAAAGGAGCCTTTCTGAATCCTTGCAAGAGGAGGAATTGAAAAATGCCTCCTCTCGTCGAGGATCTGCCACAGCGAGACGCAGTTTCTTCCGTCGGAAGAAACACCAGAGAAATAATTCCAAGGATAGCCGTGAGCTGGCCTCTTTCTCAGATGTCTCCATCAATACAGATTCGGTGCCTATTTTAGATGGTAAGTTTCCATGGAAAAAATAATTTGACGATGAATGCTGAAATTAGCTGAATGATTTCAGGTTCTGGAATTGTCATTTTTACCTCAGTTTATGCCCATCTATTCTAGCACATAACATTTACAGATTTACTATTATATCATTAGATTTTGTCTGTACAGCTTGTTAAGAGCTTTTCTTCTTGATCTTTTACTTTTGACATTTCATAAGAACATATTAGCACTGGCATTGTCATTTTAGCTTAGGGGAAGTGTAACACATTTTTACTAAGTGATAAACTATGCTCATTTCTATATTTGCAGATGGAACTGTGCTGACATATCAGAGGGTGGAGAGATTGGACTGTAAGTATTGCCCAGAACACAATTACGCTGGAAAAAAGAAATTGGGAATGACATCAAATAACAAAGGATTACTAGTATCTTTCTATAAATTTTTAATGTGTTTTAGAGATAATTAGTTAATGATTTTGATTAAAATTATATTTATTGGTTTTGGTGTAAAGTTATTAAACTGATCATTATTTTAAAGCCTTTAATAACCTTTATAGAAAATTTTTATTTTTGTATAGCCTTAGCCAGTGCCTTAAAATAAACAATATAAGAAAGAAAGGAAACCATGTCTTATATAAACTGAATCTTCTCTTCAGGTGCTGGACATGGAGGGAGAGGGTATCTTACTTATCTAATCTTAATTCAGTTCTTTTTATGTACACAATGTTGCAGAAAAAAAAAAAAAGTTGTTGTCTCTCTTTTTTTAGATAAAGTGTGTCGCCCAGTTATGATCCTTGGACCCCTGGCAGAGCCATTGATTAATAAACTTACTTCTGAGTCCCCAGACAAATATTGTCGCTGTGAATCAAGTAAGTTGTGAAAAACATTTTTTTTTTTTTTTTTTTTTTTTTTTTTTGAGTGTGTGAAATTGTCACTGTTAAGACTACAATAAAAAACTGATAGTATTTGATAGAAATGGTATTCAAGCCAGTGAAAGCATGCAAAGAGAAATGAGGCTTGAGACAGTACTTGAAAGAAATGGAATTCAACTCAGTGAGAGCATGCAAAGAGGCTTGAGACACAATTTTGCCAATGTTTTGTGCCAAGTTTTGTTGGAAACGACAAGCATGTAGGAATAATTGTCAAATTAAAATCAGAGCATAGGAGTTTAAAATCTTCAATTGTTATTTACAGAAAGAATTAATGCAGATTCATTGCTCTGACATATGTATAAATAAATATTCTGGTTTTTTGATGCCACCATCTTTTTGAAACCTGAGTAATTTGTATCTTTCTCACAGTGCCAATGAAAGCCTTAGCAGGCAGTGTGGAAAAAGCATTATCTGATGGCCAGTTGGTGGACTACCGTATAAAAGACGACCATTATGAGTGCATCACTGTAGAGGCAGTCAAGCAAATTGTTGAAAAGGTAAAATTATATTTATTACAGAATTATTTTAACCAGGACTGGGTCAGATGATAACCTTGATGTTCATTTTTGCAACTTACAAATGTTAAAAAGAAGGAAGTTATGAGGGATAAGAATTATACGAAATTAAAGATAGTTTCGTCTGAAAGTTTCCTCCCTTATTTTTTCCAAATGGACTTTTTTGTATCTGAATGCCTCTACAAATATTATGTTAGTTGTGTTTAATAATACTGGTTTTAGCATATTATAGGATATAGGTAAAGGATAAAATTGTTTGCTTTCAGAATCGCCATGCCATGCTGGATGTTAGCGCCCATGCCATAGAGAGACTCCATCGCCTACAGATCTATCCCATAGTGCTTTACTGCAAACACAAGTCATCTAAAGAACTGAGGTATGCAGATTGTCTAAACCTGCCTGCAGTATGATAGCTGTAGTCAAATGTTGTGGCCATTTGGACTGGTTGATTTCGTGTGTGAATGTGCTGGCAGATACAGTATTTTATTGAATGGTTGATTAATTGAATGATTGATTGATTTTTGGGCTTTCGATGATAAATTATTTTTGTTTTTCTTGCAGAGAGGTGAAGGACACAAGATTTCTACCAGAGAAGATGACCAGTAAAAGTGCAAAGCAGCTGTATGAACAGTTCCAGAAAGTAGAACAGGATTGCAGGCATTTGTTTTCAAGTAAGATATTTTATGGCTTAATAATTTTTTTTCTTAGAAATGATACTCTCATTCATTTTACTGTAAAAGTCAGCATTTTGCTTACTTCATGATTTGAATGTTCATATTTCATTATTTTCATTAAAAATTATGGTGTATCCATCCTTAATTTCTATAAAGTATGTTTAAAAGTATGGTAAAACATTATCCTTCAAAATGAGCATTATGGTTTTAAGTTCCTCATATATTCAAATGTGTTCTGGTATGAGTAGCAGTTATGCAGTGAAAAATTTTCACGTTTGTATTGTTAACCTACTGTTCATTTTCAATAACTTTTCACTTTTAAATTTGTTTTCGTTTTAAGGTATATCATTGTAAAGCATGCGTTAAGTCGACTCTAATTTTATGTACACAAGGCCTAAAATTCAGATCAGTGGGATTAATAGCATGTTTTGTTCTCTTCATTCAGGTATGGTCCAAGGGGGCAATAGCTTGGCATACATGTCCACCCAGATCAAGTCAGCCATTGACATTGAGCAGAAGAAGACCATTTGGGTGCCATCGGGGAATATCTGAGGCACAGTTTTCGAGGCAAATGTCTGTCAAACTTTTAAAGAAGGATGCTTTCACAGAAGATTGCCACTGCATTGGTATTGGAGTTTGGAGTTTGATGATGGTTGACAAAGAGGCAAAATAAACATAATGGACAAATTCTAATGCATAGATCGTGAAAGGAAACTCTCCTTTGGTTTTCAGGATTCCCACAATGCTTCAACGGAATGGTTTTAATGGACAGTTTGGGGATAAAAAGCTCTTTTCACCACCTGGTGAACAGTTTACTTATAACTTTCACAGAAATCTTATATTGGTCGTGGGTGTTTTACAAAAACATTGATCGTTTCTCATTGAATGTGAAATATACGATGCACATTATCTCTATACACATGACTGACATATGAATCTGCTCATTAAAAAAAAAGCCATTCCTGTTTTCACAATTGATAGAAAAACAAACCTCAGCAATATGTATTTAATTTTCGAAAATGGTTTATTTTTATGTCAGAGCATGTGGTGCTTTTCATGTTGCTTGATTGGCAAACGTTAATAGGTGGACATAAATGTGACTCTTGGCAAAACATGCTTGAAGAAGGGGACAAGAAGCTGTAAGAAAACAGACTTACACCAAGAAAATACACTTTTTATGCCATGACAAACTGTTTCAAGACAAACGGAAATATGATCAGAAAATCAAATTAATGTTTATTCAAAATGTACAATGGTGAGCTTAAATGGCATAGTGAGATGTAGTTTTTAGATAATAATTTAGCTGTAGTGTCATTCAGCCCTTGCCTGCGGTGGCGGGTTGAGGCATAGCATGTCCCATTGACGTACTGCAGAAAAGCCTGATATTTGATGGTGTAATGTAAACATTAAGGGGCTTTTACTGCAATCATAACATTCATATTGATCTCATTGCCACGCCAAAGGCTTTTTGATGTGTTTGTCCCTGCCACAGGGTGATGTGAGTGAAGTGGCTTATTAAATTGGAGTTATAGATGCAGTTGACTTTAGAAAAGTGATGTGGGGATTTTACCATGGTTTTTTCCAGTTTTGCACGTGTTACATAAGAATGTAAGCGTGGGCAATTGACCTTTTTGTTTGTTTGTTTTTTTCTTTATGATTAAGCTGGTCCCAGTTTGCTTTATATGTGAAGAAGTAGCAAACTTTCCACTCTCTCTCTCCCTCTCTTAGCAAACTGTTCTAATTCAGAAGTGGAACATCCAAGTTGCTGTTAAAAATGAAATATGATTACTGTGTAATGCCTGTCAGTCTAAATGTGAATTCGTTGTAGTGGCTGTACTTATGTAAACTTGGGTATGTGGAAGAACTTTTGGATCTGTGCTTTTAGTTAAAACGTGAGCCCATATTTTCACACAGTAAGATTGCATCTGAACACACAATGGTGCTGCTGCTATTTTGTATTTATTCTTGTACATGAATGTTGTGAAGCTCGTAATCAACTACTGTAATCGTCAGATCTGTGTTTGTAAATAATGTAACTGGGATGGCTGTGGAACAGTGGTACTTCAAGTTACAAGCCTTATGAATCGTAGAAGACTTGCACTTTTCCTTGTGACTGGATTATGATATAAAACTGCTTTAAGCACTGGCTAGTGTTATGTTGTTGATTGGCCATCTATTGGAATTTCTTCAATCTAAACATCTAAATTTACAATATATGCAAAAGTACACTTCAATCCAAGTTCCTTGAAAAAAGACAGCAAGCACGCTGATATCTCTTCCGTGTAGGCCATAGGGTAAATCATCAGGGTTTTTAAGAACACACACGTGTATCGATCTGTCCCAAAGTCCTACAGCAGAAGAACTTAATTGATATAAACCCTAGTGTACATGGTGTTAACAACTATTTATAATAATGAAAAAAAAACTCAATTACACAAATAAATAAACAGATGATGCAGTTTGATATAGGGAGTAAATATAAATATTGTATCATAACCATAATTCCACTGCCAAATCAACTGCTCACAACAGTGGGTTGATAATAAACTATAATATACATACAATTATCAAATTACATATTGTTATAAACTACAATTGCACAAGTAAATAGTTTAACAACACAATCGATGTTAATAATGTGCCATAACCAAATGTCAATGTTTAAACCCACTGTCGAGTCAACTGCTCACAACAATGGGACCTCACACTGACAAACTTTTTAATACATGCCCCTTAAACCACTATCTCTCTCTAAAGCAATCATGAATTAATTTTGCAGTTTCCTTTGCTGTTTCCAAGTCATTTTCCACTATATATATATATATATATATATATATATATATATATATATATATATATATATATATATATATATATATTGATATATTGATATTGATATTTATTGGGATTATAATCAGATATATCTTTGTTATCTCTGAAGAAGTATTTTTAATGTGTACTATTGGGAGTGTCATAGAGGGCATGTGCAGCTCAACATTAGATGGAATTCAACCTCTACTTCGTTAAGGGGACAACATACATTCTTTGTCCCACTGGTTTCTTATGTACCTTCCTACATACTTTCAAGGTCTGCATATCATGCAAAGCTATTCTTTTTTTCCAATTCAGGTCTTTAAAATGATAAAACCTCTCAAATAAAAGTGCGACTGTCTAAAAGTTACGGGAAACATTTAGAACCAACACTGATATACAAGATCAAACCAAGGAGCTGTAATGTGCATCGAGCATCATTAATTCGTGAGAAGCAGGACTAACTTTCAAGGAAAATTCGGGGGGGAGGGGGGGCGTCTCGATAGTCCGAAGGTTCATTGGTCCGAAAAATAACATTTTCATCGGTTTTTAATAAAGGGTTCATTGGTCGGAGGATTTTTAATAAAAGGTTCATTGCTACGACCCCAAATTTCTGGTCTGGGGAGGGGATTCTGGATGAGATAACTCAATAAATTCACAAATAAAGAAAATTAACGAAGTGAACTTGTAATGCCCCGTTCAAAATGTGCAGTTTCACGCATGAATAAAAGACATGCTTTTCCACCACTTTCTCCGCATTCGTCCCATTTACTGACTTTAGATAAGATAATGTGCCACCACCAGCCACCACCCAGGATTTGTCAATTAACCTCAAACCCATTTTGAGCATATGAAAGAAGCTTAGCGAGAACGAGGCAAAAGTGTGGACAGTGCCGAAAATGCCGGTTCGTGAAAAAATAGTTCGGTCATGACACAAAGCACTCAGCGCTTTTTTAACAATTGGAATATTCCTTCTGATCATTATTTATTTATTAAAGTTCGAATACGTTATAAAGAAATTACATGAATGTAAATACCCAAAATTCGCTAATTACAAGCGTATGTATTATCAATTAAGTGTATGAATAAAAGCACGTGTTTCTTTCTCTTTGAGCGGTGGAAGCGAGTGCTTCGGACATCTTAACTCATCGACCAATTAAGTCAGAGGATAACTTAGCTAATTATTATATTATCAGCAGTCATGGCTAATCCCAGAGTTTTCTTTGATGTTGTGCACAATAAGCAACCACTGGGGCGCATTGTCATGGAGGTAACATTATTAATTGACATGAAAATGGTGTATCATGGCGACAAGTTTCGATACATACTCGAGTTACAGTGGCGTGATACTAATAGTATCATCTTGTTAGACTATTTCTAAGCGCGATAAAATCATTATGGTTCAAAGTTCATCAAAAGTTACTTCCTGGTTTTAATATGCTGCTCATATATATGATACTGCTGTTACCAATTTAATCGCCCTTTCAGTAATTGAGTATACTGTAAGTTAAAGGAGTGATGTGCCAAGATAATATTGATAATTTTGGTGTTGTTTTTTTTTTATAGACAGAAGTACAAGTAGTAACACTGCTTACATTTTTTTTACTTGTAGTCTGGCATATCTCATATTTAACACATACCACTGTAACCAGAAAAGCTTCAAATGGCATTTTCTTTTCACTTAATTGATAAGAAAAACTACTCCTATGGGAGCAGATGCCTCATAATTTCATAAACCATAAAAATGTATGTTTCGACCAACCCGTCAAGGGAGTGGCCTGTGCATTTTTATATATGTACTATCAATACAAGTTTAAAGATCTCCCAACATCTGAAACATCTTCCCTGTATATTTACTTTACAAATTTGAATAAATTTTATATTCATTATATTTTCCAGCTTTTTGCTGACAAAGTGCCCAAAACAGCAGGTATGTCTTATATGATCATTTTGCATGCAGATGATGATAAATGATTATTGAAATACACACTCTATGGTATTTAGTGAAAATTGTGTTTGTTAATATTTCATGCAACAAACAGTTACCAGTGTATTTGACAATTTGCAAATTTTTTATTATAAATTATTTGTTCGGGTTTGACAGAGCAAGTGATCCTTGCTTAGCAACATATTTTCATATATCCTTTTCCAGAAAAGGAATGGTGTCTAAAAATTACTTATTGCATGAAATACTTTACTTTTCAGTGTTCACTACTGACTGATATTTTATTTTAATTATTCTTAGAAAATTTCCGTGCCCTGTGTACTGGTGAAAAAGGCTTTGGATACAATGGTTGTGTGTTCCACAGAATTATCCCAAAATTTATGATCCAGGGTGGCGATTTTACCATGGGCAACGGCACAGGAGGGAAAAGTATTTATGGAAAGAAGTTTGCAGATGAAAACTTCATATATAAGCATACAGGACCAGGTATGTGATATCACATATTGCAGAAATGTTTGTATATTATAATGTTAAATATATATGCCAATTTATGGTACATTTACATGTATTAAGTTTCACACTTCAGTTTGGACTTGAGTACAGATACTACAAGGGTCCAGACTTGTTATTTAGGGCATACCAGCACCATGTGTGCCTGCTTCACCCTTAAGGAATTCCTTGCTTTTCAATGCTTCTGTTGCCACTGCAGAAGCCAGGGAGAATTGTACAGTGACATATGTCTGATCTGATTGAGAAATACAAGGTTAAACGGTCACAGTAGTAGAAGAACAGACTCACATGTAATCAAGAATGTATTGCCAAGAATTTGAAACCAAAATGACCAAAATCAGACTGGAAAAATCTGCCCAAAAGTGGATCTATTCTTAAATGAACTGAAGTTTGACGAAACATCATTTCAATCATAAATGTACAGCAAATCAACATTTGAAAATGCCTCTAAAACGCAATTTATGGCATTTGGAAAACAAGCTCTTGAAATAGCTGGAGTATATAAATATGATCCAATCGGCTTGCGGCATAATGTCACTTTCTCAATATTCACCTGAACATACATCAGTTTTGTGTCTATTTATGGCAACTATAAATTGGCTAGCCCTATTCACATATAAACAAATGGTGCCGCGAAGAGATGTAATGATTTGTTTTACAGATTTTTGTTCCCTGAAAGTCATTTATGTGGAGCCCTGTGCTTTTGTGCCAGTTATTCCAGAAAGCGACCTTTAATAGCTATTTTCCTAAAGGTTTTTGCATTTCCTGGACTTCAGCAATGATTTACAGGAAAGTAAGATTTGACCAAGATTTCCCAAGCTCACAATAGTTTTCCATAGGAACCAAGAAAGCAACATTTCTACCCTTGTTGGTATCTCCGATGGCCATGCCTGTTGAGAGTGAGTGCTTCAATCCACTTATGAATAGTCTCTTTCACAAGAATTACTGTTTAACTGCTGTTAAATTGTTTTGTCAGGTGTGCTGTCTATGGCCAATTCAGGACCAAACACCAATGGTTCCCAGTTTTTCATTACAACTGTTAAGACTGAGTGGTAAGTCACAAAAATTAAATGTCTTGTGACCCATTTAAACAAGAAATAAATGTGCAATTTGGCATACATTGAGGAAGAATATTATTGTAATATGTGATCACACATAAGCAGTAATTTGTTGATTTGATAGTATTGAAGAAGGAATCACAGGGAAGGGGACATTTTTTTATTATTTATTTATTAAAGTAAAAAAATTAATTTTTTGTTTACTTTTTATATTGATAATAACTTAATTTCTGTTTTTTTTAAATATATTTATGCTTGATCTCATCAAGTAAATTTAGCATTAGAAAAACAGCAGGAAAATTAATACATGGTGTCCAACATGGCTCACTGTCCAAAATATGGGATGTATTACCCACTCATCACGTATATTATTTACGGACACAGTGTGTGCATATATTTTTGCCTGTTTGTTTGTCCCCTTTCATATACATATGTTCATACCATATCTGACAGGCCAATTATGTTTTTTACTGAAAATTGACTAGATTTTGTTTGGCAAAGAAGCAGTGATATCCTGTTAATAGAGGTTGCTAATGTGCTCTGCCAAAATGCAAATTTTTAAATTTATCACATTAGTGATTGGGTATCTTTTCCTTGTACAGGCTGGATAATAAGCACGTGGTGTTTGGCAAGGTGGAGGAGGGCATGGATGTTGTGCAGAAGATGGAAGCTCTTGGGTCAAATAGTGGGAAGACCAACGGCACTGTGTCAATTTCAAACTGTGGCCAATTGTAAAAGGTAAATATTGAACCCTTTGTTTATAAAAGCTTCTTGACTTTTAATTCTTGTAATTATATGTACTTTAAGCATAAAAAGTCTATTTTTTATAATTGGTAATTTTTGAGGAAAATGGGGCCAGTATTTGTCCAATTTAGCTGCTTTCAGTAGTTTACAATGATTAAAATGGGAGAATTAAGACCGTTAAAGTTTGTGTTTTTTATGTGTTATCTTATGCATATGTTAAACATTCTGGTGTTGAATTCACAAGTAAATTTTGTAAATGTCATATCTTTTTGAGTTTTCTTGACATTTATTTTTATATTTATTCTAATTTTTATTTCAGGTTGTGCATGTAGTCTAAAATCGAAACTCTGCTTTTGTACCTTGGAAGCAGAAATTTGACAGCTTGTTAAATAAACCAATGATGTGAACACTTTTTGTAGCTGTGTAAGTGATATAAAAATTTTACAAAATAAGATTATGTTGCATTGGCACAAATTTCTTAAAACATTTTAAAAATACTGTTTTGTCAGGGCATGCTGAACCACGGAACAAACACTCGTCTCTGCAATATTGTTCATGAAATTGCTTTATCACAACACTTAAGAAGAATGACAGGTGCATTGAGACAATGATACCAGAAGTTGCTTGACATCATACATATCTTTGAATGAAACAAAATTTGAAATTCATCTATAGTCACGGATCAAATTTATTTTGCTTTTTTTTTTCGTGGATTATATATTTCAGTCAACACGGATGCAAATATTGGTAATACAGCCATGACAGTGGGAGTTATCTGTTGGCTGTATTGGCCTTAGAAGTTTGTCAATAATAAATAAAAGTATGACAATCTTTTCAGTGTTTATTGTCACTGTTCTGTTTTGAAGTACGAGATTTGTATTGGAAAACGCCAAGGATTAATTTCATGTTCAGTATTTTTTATTTCTGTTTCGAGTCCAGACGTTGATTTAAAAAATGGCCAGAGACATCTGTGAATATATAGTAAAAAATCAATTGGTGTTCCTTGCTTGATTGCGCACGCGCGCGCGCACACACACACACACCCAAAAAAAAGAATTGATGATTTTTCCTTCGGGACCACTCGTTTCCGGTTTTAACTTAGAATATTGGTGCTGCAGAAAGGCCACATTGAAGGCTTCACCAAGATCCACTGAAGAAAAAGAATAAACATATCCGGTGGACTAGCTTGTACATCTTTTACATTGGACGGCGTCCTTTTTGCGTCCCGTAGTTCGGCCCCGTTTGAGAGTAAAAAAATTAATGCCGACAACTGGCCGATCACTGAGCATTCATTCTGCACCCAAAGCGATGCTTGTGCCTCCTTTCACATGGTTGCAGAATGGACGCCGTCCAGTTAAAAGGATATGGAGCAATTTTTAAACCCGAAAGACGGTAGCTTGAAGCCAACTGAATGACTTCACGTATAACATGACGTCAGTGGGAAATGCTGATGTAAAAGAAACTGGGGCGGTCTGTAGAACTTCGTTTTTCTCTTGTAGGATCTGTATTCAAAATTAGTTTTTTGCTGCTTGTCTAGCAAAACTACAGGTTTCCGTTTTGCCACTAACCTATATTGCTGGTATTTACAGCCTCTTAATCCTTCTTCATCTCCTCTCCACCCTCAAAATATTTAAGTGAAAAAAAAACAACCTTTAGTCTGGTTATCATATGTGTCCATTTCTAAATGTGGGGCAACTTTTCGAAAGATAACCTATAAAACGCTACTTCTTTCTAATACCCTGGATCCACAAGTAAACAACGTGATCTATGTTTTTTTTTTTTACCTTGGATTCCTTGTTTGCCTATCTCTGAAATGCCACTAGCTTATTTCTGAACATCGTTGATAGTAGTGGATTTTAAACTTGTCCCGAAGTAATTCAGTTTATACCTCAATTTATACTGTATAGTATAGGCGGGCCTTGTATAATTCTTGGAAAAGGCTGTCACGTTACTTGTGTACGTGACCCTCATTTACGCTAATCAGGAATCATTTGAGGGGATGGAAATCAAAATAAATGAAAAATATATACAATTGAACAACTTTAATGGGAAAAAACTAGAACTTGTAATGAGCCATAAAAAAAGGTTTCAATAATCCCTGCTATCCCCATTAAATACATTTGCGTTCCTTAATTAATCACCTGCTGCTCATACATGTAGGTTCGTTAACCATACCAATATAACATCTGTTACACACCAGTACGTGACTCATAAAATACCAATTAAGCTCGTGTTTGTAAATGGTTATCTCTACAGATATCCACAAATCATCAATATCCACTCTTGGCTCTTCCTTTGAAAAAAATATGGGGGAGGGTGGATCCTCGGTCTCATGGATTAAGACTTTACTTCGTTTTAAATCCACTGGTTATTTGACTACTTATAAGTGAGGCGTGGATTCAAACAGTTAGTGGTTCAGTTGACGAACCCGGTAGCACGAAATTCATGGGTTAGCACTCCTATTTAGGCCTACGGTTTCTGATATGTAGATCTACGCTGTGTTAACGCATGAAAGCAATGGCCTCAATAACTGTAAAATAACGAATGGTTACTGTTCTTCATTCTCAAGTAGGCCTATCTGTGCTCCTAAAAATATCAAAATGTAAACATTCAATAAAAACATTACCAAGTGCAACCTGAAATGATAAGTGCTCATAAATACCGTTTGTGTAAGAAAAAAGTCCGTTTACTTGCCTGCAGATGCCCGTTCAGTCTGCATACATTTCATCATACACCACTCATTTTCTCGGTCTATGCAAGTATTTCTTGATAATAACTCTTCGTTTTGGCCAAAAAAATTAATTTTCCTGGAGTAAACAACAATTTTCCCATACTTACCAATGGTTAATGAATCCATTTCTACATTCAAAGTTAGTCCCTGTTTTTTTCTAAAAAGTTTGGTTTTTTGTTAAAATCTCTTAAGAGATTATACAGATCGAGTATAGCCAGCATGGAGGTCACGTGGTCTGAAGACAAGCTCAGATATCAGAATAATAGCTATAACTCCTGCTTTTGTCGTAAAACAGAATATGTTATATTTCTATGAGTTATTCACAATGTTTTTATTGTGAAATATAGACCTCATACGAAGAGTTATTATCCCTTTAATTGTTTAGTTCTATTAGATATGGTGCCCTTGTTGAGCACCTTTGAAAGATCTTATTATAAAGCTCTGGTGCAGTTAGTCTGACAATTAAAAAATTAATGAAAACTAGAACTTTTCAGAATCGTGCTTTTATTTTCAAAGTTGTGCACTTTGGTTGCCCCCACCCTGTCGGGGCAGTGACTAGGCCCTACCGGTGCAGCTGCATCTAAAAACTTCCATATGTACAAAGAAAGAAATCAAAAGTTATGTATAAATATTATCACGTTATGATCTACGTGACTAAGCGACACGAGGAAGGAAAATGCCGAAATACGCCGCTGTTGTCACGTAAATATGACCGTTGAGCACAAAGGTAAGACAAAGGGACACAAAGATCCAACTTGGCGCCAATATTCGTCAAAATATAGGCTGAGTTTAAAAGGTTAGGTATAATATGTTAATGATAACAGATCCACTGCAATGACAAATATGATAAGATTATACGCTAAAGAGGGTCACCCAAAATGAAATTAACGTACACCAAGTAAATTGTTGCACAAAGTTAACAAAGACCGCAAAGCGTTCTAGCTATATAGTACGCCAAGCGGATGAGCTCCCATTCGTACATGTGAGCTTCCTTGAGAAAATGAGACTACTTTTTCAAAAAAAGTAGATCCAAGATATATGACGTTTGATACCTAAATATACTTCATATAGCCTAATTTTCTGTTATATTGTTATATTTATTATATTGACATATCCTTGTGAGTAAGGGATCCAATTTAATGCATGATAAATGACAAATTGTAATTTAATTCGCGTAGTAATACGTCGCGCTCATGCGGAAGGTCACACGTGGGTTTATCCTTCGAGAAGGGCAGTTCACATTTCTCTTCATTTTTAGTCCAGCCTTGGAATTTCGTCCTCACGGTAATCATGAGTAACCCGAAGGTATACTTTGATGTTAGTGCCGACGGCAATGCGCTCGGGAGGATCGTCATGGAGGTATTGTCAGAAATCAACAAATGTTAATTTCTTTTGTGTAGATCTAATGACAACCAAGGTAGTTGCCGGCCGGTCTTTTAAAGACTGATAATGTGAAGCGTGCATTTTAGTTATCTTCATATTGTCTCTAGATTTTACATGTATCCAAAAGATATTGTGTTAATGAAGCAGTGCACTGTGATTTCAAATTTTTTTAAGGTTTTAACATTTAGTGCAATATTTTGAAATGTTTATTTTTATTGACAACTGCAAACAGACAAGCATACAAAGGACCTTTATTTGACCTTGACGTAGTGTTTTGACCGGTCTGCGTCGTAACAACTTTGATTAAATGTTAAGAAATAAAAATGGTTGAGAGAAGTACGAGGATGAAAGTTCTGATTTATTTCTGATACTTTGATGTTAATAATTGTTACGTAATTTCTAGAAGGGCGGGGTCGCTAATTTTTACCATGTCTTTTTGCCTTGACCCGTGCCACCTTCCCCATTCCCCTGCTCTTCCAAAAAACGTCATGAGAAGAGAAACAACTGGACATATTTAAGATGGACTTATTTATTTACTTTTCTACAAGCCAAACATAATTCAATGTGGAATAAGATTTATGTGAAGATATTTTAGCTGATGCTACCAAAAAAAAAAGACTTAATCTGGGTCCTCTTAGAGAGGTGTCTGTGTGCTTTGTTCTCACGTACTCTATTCTGGATCATTTTGATGAATTTAAATGTAAATTGGGATACATGACAAATGTACAATATTAAAAAATTTTAGCATTTTTCCCCCTTTTTTTGCTAAATGATGCAGCAAGGTGCACAACGAATTTCAAGATGGAAGAGAACTAAAATTATCAAATTATATTTGGGTTTTTTCAAATTTGCTTCTTATCCACTTCCACACTGTAGTGTGAATGAGGTATGTGACATGATATCCATTGATAAATTTATATCAACCAGGATTTAGTGATCAAAATTGAGATAATAGGTTGAACTGTTCTGATAGAGAAATGCTGTTCCTCTTGGTTCTTCTTGAAGTACATGTATGATTATGGCAAGATGTTCAATTATTTATTACATTTTTTTTTTCATTTTAGCTGCGCGCTGATGTTGTACCAAAGACAGCAGGTAGGTATTTTAAGACCAAATACTGACATGTTACCACATTTAAACCTCCAGTCACAGACATAAAACCTTCAGGACCAATAGTCATAAGGATCGCATTGGTCTCATTGAAGAATTGTAAACCTAGTCCTTTCTTTCAAATAGTTTACAAAAAAAAAAAAAGAAAAAATAATGCCGGTAACTTATTATGTACATGTTGACACTCCTGAATTTTTATGAAGAGGACTGGATTGCAACACACCCAAAGGTTACTCGTATCTACTAAGTGAATGATGTCATTTGATGTTATCTTACTATGCTTACTAATTTGGTTACTGAATCTATTTCTTCATTGCTGAACATGTATAACACCTCATTCTTTTTACTTATAATGTTGGTGATTGTTCATTTTAATACACAAAGAAAGTTATCTAAAGTTTGTTGATTTCATTGGCATATTGGAAGTCTTCTAGGCAGCTTATATATCTTGCCTAACATATATGTAGAGATCAATATCATTACCAGTTAAGATTATCCATTATGTGCAAAAATCAATTGCCTTTTGTTTTGCTGCTGTTTCTGTTGCCAACCTTTAGGACTGATTGTATTTGCTATCTTAAGTGTGAAGCATAATTTCTTTTGCCCCTTAATAAAATTAATTTTATTTTCATCTAAGTCTTTTTACAGTTCACAAAGAAAAAAGTCTGGAAAAAATGAAAGATTAAACATGAAAGGAATTTCTCTTCTGCAGCCTATGTTAAGCCTACCACATATCCCAGTAAAACTATTAATAACTGCTCAGGAATACTGTCTTTTTTATGCAAGTCTATGGCTCATTTCAGAGAACTTCCGTGCCCTGTGCACTGGAGAGAAGGGGTATGGGTACAAGGGGTGCGTATTCCACAGGGTCATTCCAGGTTTCATGCTCCAAGGGGGCGATTTTACCCATGGCAATGGAACTGGTGGCAAGAGCATTTATGGGGAGAAGTTTCAAGATGAGAACTTCCAGTTGAAGCACACTGGCAAAGGTAAAGCAACTATTTAGAAGCTTGTGCAGGCGAAGTTTGACCTTTTAAGTACCTGGTTGGAAATTCCTCTACAGCAAACACCTAGCACATATTCAAGGTTCTCAGTAAAGATGTCCATTTCATTACAGGAGAATTTTCCTACCAACATACAGAAATATTAGAGGATTAGGTTAACTGGTTGCGAGGAGAGTCACATAATTTTTTTAAAATATTTATGAATATCACATGTAAGATAATGCCCTTATTGTGCAATTTGATTCCTAATAACTTTTTTTTATTACTTTTTCTCAAAAGCTTTGTTTCAGTGTTTGGAAGAGTTTCTATTTGTGCAAAAGAACAGTTGCATGGTTAACTGCAGGAAAAATCAAGATATATATATATATATATATATATATATATATATATATATATATTTAGCTTATTTTTTAAATTCTTGTTACTGTTCTTTAAAATATTAATTTGAATCCAGGGACTGCTTGGGGTTTTTATTCCAGAATATCTTATGTTATGTGCTGTTTAAAAATGCTAGTTGACTTGTCAAGTCAGTTACACTAAAACCCAATACATGCTACCATATAGTGTACCTCAAAGGTATACCAAAGGGTATTGTTTCATATTTCCCGCAAAAAGATATTTGAACAGGTATTTTCTGCTTTCCTTCTGTGCTGCTATACATATCTCTAGATCCTGTTTGCTAACTGTCATTTGGAAAATTGTGCTATTTGGTGTGCAGCAGTAATGCACAATACATTACTAAGTAATTTGACAGACCTCCATGAACTGGAGGTACAGGTAAACAAGTCAAATTTATGACCAAGAAAAAAAGGAAGTAGGTCCAATTTCAATCTTTTTTTGGGGGGGGGAGGGGGGGTAAATTTGGTTTATCCTTTAGCACGTGGTCTTGTTTGAGTTGCATAAGTATTTTGTAGTAGTGTTTTATATATATTACAACAAATTTACTTTTTTTCCTGTGTAATTTTTATGTTTCCTGTTTCTATTTTGACACTGCCTATTATACAGTAACTACTAGAATCTGCAAATCTCTTTGGTTATGCACTAAATGGTTGATCTTTTTCTTGGAAAAAAACTAATTACATTATTAGTTTATCGAAGCTAAAATGTTATGGTAACATAGATGTACATGTGTATGCATTTACATAATTATAACAAGGACATTGGTATATGTATTTTTTTTTAAACATTTCTATTTATTTGTCTGTTTAATCTGTCACTTGTAAATGTTTTAATTTGCCATAACTGTACTTATGCACTGCATTTTAGTGTGACTGGTTTCTTGAAGGAAATCACCATTTCAGGGTATACAATGTACTTTCAGGTTGTTTGTCCATGGCTAATGCAGGTCCACACACAAATGGTTCTCAGTTTTTTATTTGCACAGTTGTAACACCATGGTAAGGAACTTATTTGACATTAACAACAGATTGCGTTGAATTGATAGACTTTAGAGATTGATATTTTGTCTTTTTATGTCTACAATCAGGAACTTTGTCCATGGCCAATGCTGGACCTAACACAAATGGTTCCCAGTTTTTCATCTGTACCGTCGAGACAGGCTGGTAAAGTGACCAAAAATCCTCAATGTTGCTTGATATAAGGGGGGGTTTCTTGGCAAAATGTATACAGTCATTCCTTTCATTATGTTGTGAAATCTGCACCAAAGTTCCCATTTTGTAGTAAAGGATCCAAATAAAAATTGTGGCAGTATTTGTTATTCATCTTGCATGGTATTTGTGTTAAGCCTCAACATTTGAACGTCAATGTGACCCAAAATGTTTGCTACATTGTGGTGTATGATGCAGATTATCATGTTTTACTTTTTAACACAGAATGAGGCCTCATTTCAGCTTGATTAATAACTCTGAAACTATTTTGGCATGGTGATGGAATATATATATATATATGCACCTTTCTTTTTAAAAGTTGGCAATGACCATGTTTGATATGAACTATTTGGAAGACATGGGAATTTTTTCCCTACAGTTAGCACTACTGTTCGTCATGTTATGCTTTTATCTTTGAGCTTTCACTAATAACTGTACATACAAGTTAGTAACATGGTGTATTTGTTGTTATCTTGTTATTTTTTATTTTGCTCTCACTTTATAATATATCACCAGTGACTACATGACAATTATTTAAGTATTTTGTTTTATAATTATCTAATTATTGTTGCATTTTGAGACTGCTTTTCCTATGTATAATTTTACATTCACACAGCCAAATTATAGTTATAATACAATACAATGCTTTAAAGTACTGGTTTTTGAGGAAGTTCATAAACATGGCTTTCTTGTTGTGGAAGTTGCTTAAATATGTCCAATTTTTGTATACAGACACTTCATGTGTCTGTATATATTTTAACCACTATGTCATCGCATCAATTCCCACTTGCCTACCTATTACAGTGGCTAAACCTCAGAAACCCTCATTCCCTGGATATCTGTGACGCTGCCTGGATCCTATATTTATATTAGTTTTGAAAATGAACTTTTATTTATATTTTTTATGATTAATTTTTTATTGTAAATATTATTTTAATGTTTATTTTATTAATTTTTCTCTGATTGGTGTCTGTATATTTTTAAGCTGTGCTAGACAGAAAGATCTGATTAAAAACTGTTTGCTGAAATTATAAACAACTTGCATAAAATACAAAAAATCATTACAAAACTTTTTTTTAATTGAAATTACTTGATAAAGATGAGAAATTGTCCACTGCTGTCAAGTGCTTTGCATGATAAACAGTCATCACTAATTTGTCAGCATTGAGTGTTCTTTGTTTATATGGATTGAAAAAAAAAACATTAGCAAGCAATAATAAACCTGTAACATGTGGTGTTGGTATTAAAGTTTTGTCTTATTTTTTAGGCTCGATGGCAAGCACGTTGTGTTTGGTACCGTAACAGAAGGCTTGGATGTTGTCGACAAGATCGAGGCATTCGGCAGCCAGAGTGGCAAGACCAGCAAAAAAATTGCAATTAACAATTGCGGTCAGCTGTAGGAATCTGATCATGTCATAAATAATTTCTATATAAGGAATTTGATCAGGCAGTGCATTTTTCACAATGTACTAAATCAATTGTAATTGTTTAGTACAGGACATCTTTTTATTGAAAGGAGGATCTCGAGTCAAATTTTTTTCTATTTCATTTACAAAATTTTGTCATAATTCTCTGAGAGAAGATTCTCATCTGTTTTCGACTAGCTTTATTTGTTCCTTCATGCATACTTTTCTAGAATCTGAACAAAGTGAAGATCTGATGTAGAGAAACTTTCAAAAAGCTTTAATAAAGCCACATTTCTTGGTACAGGTTTTTTGTGTCTTTAAAGATTTATCTTGTTCTGTTGAAACTGCAGTGAATAACAGTACTGTTTAGGTCCAATAACACATTTAATTGTTAATCGTCTGTCTGACCATTTGCAGCAAAACTTTTTTTTCCTGTCAATTTTTTAAAACCTAATTCCAGAATCTTTATAAAATAATTTGTGTGGTATAATGATAATGGGGATCACAGATTTTGTCTGTGAGGCTTCAAGTTTTCCTGATCAGCGTTTTAACATGGGGCTATTTGGGAAAAGCGCAAAAGGTAAATTTTAAGATGCGTGTGAAGCTAGTTCATGTCCAATTGCTACTGCTAAACCCAACTAATTGATGCCAAGTGGTTTCAAACATTGAACATCAAAAGAAATTTATCAAATATATTTTGGCATGTGTCAGTTCCAACAACAACTTAAATAAGTGTACTTGTTGTTTGTGCGATATAAAGCAACTCTGTGATCATTTGCTGCTGTGTTCGTTACCACATCACACGGGATCTCTGGAATGCTACACTAAGTATAATTAAGATGGGTTTGAAACGGTTTGCCATTCTTCAGGCATTTGTGACCATAGTTGTCTTGTGTCCTCCCTGTGCTCGGGTGCACTCTTGGCACCTTTGTGTCTATATTCTCTCACAAAAGGTTTGAGACTGCACACAAATGTTATTGCAGTTTCAAGTAAAATTAATACTCGATTTTGTACTCGGTGTAGCATTAATATGTTCTGTAAAAACTGCAGCTCACTTTACAAAACCAGTTCCTCATTTTTATAACTTTTTATACATTATTATATAAAATTCTTCCAGCTGAGCTTTAAAAAATAGCATGTATTAATTTGTGTCCTGTGCTGGTTTATTAATCTGTATAAACCCAGTGGATGGAATGTTTGCTGCCATTCATACTGTTTTTCTGGCACAAAATCTGGTCATTTACCTGCATCTTACTAGAGTAGATTTTTTCTATAACTCTCCCTATTTATAGAAAGTTCTGATATTTTAATGATCGGACACATCTCCCTATTAACAGGAACTTTTGTTATTCTATCAGTATATATAAGAAAAAAGCTCAGCTGTCTGATGAATTGGGTTTGCTGAACACAAACATGCATCTCTTCCACTCCGTGGTTGCTTAAAATATTCATTGTATTTTTAGAACTTATTCAGTCATGAATTGATGGTGCTCATTTTTCTTTTGAATGTTCTTTTTCCCTTAGCTCCACTCTTCGGATTTTGCCACTCACAGTTTTAGGAAGCTGTTCCACAAACTCCACCTAAGAAAAAGTTTGTAACTGATGAATTGTCTAACTAGCCACCACCCATCCCAAAGAAATATATTGTTTTAAAAGAAGTTTACAATACGACATATTAAACATAAAGCCGATCTTTCTGGAAACAACAGTAAAATGCCAATTCAAAAAATATATATATAAACTCACCTTTCTGGGATATTTATAAGGAGCAGTTGACTTTTTCACATGTTCCTGTAATTCCTTGGTTAAGTTATCTTTGTCAATGGTTTTATATGCTTCACTGAGAACAATAAATGCTTTTACCACCTGAAAATATACCATGTCAAAATTTCATCCCTTGAACAATTCAAACCTGGCTGGCAACAACAATTAGTAGCAGACGTTAAGTAGCAGATTGGAAAAACGTATTTGAAATCCAAAACCATTTGTTGCTGTCAATTATTTCTTATTTTAAAAACAGAAAAACTTGAACACAGACTCAAAAGAGGGTGCGAGTAAAAAATACTAGCCTGATATTCCCCTTAATGCTGCATTATGTGGAATTCTCTCATTTAGATAATATGAAGTATTTCCATCTTGCTTGAAACTTATAATGTTTTGTCAAGTTTGAAAAACAAATTATCAGCCCCTTCATTTTCATTCACAAAGCACTTGCTTTTTATTTTTTTTGCTTGTACATGTTAGTAAGCAGAAAAATTCTACAATAAAGCATACCTCTCCTCTAGTTTCATCTGGGCTGCTGACCACGGCGGACTCCACCACAGCAGGGTGCTCTATAAGAGCACTTTCCACCTCAAATGGTCCAATACGGTAACTAAAAATTAAGAAGCACAATAAACAAAGAAGTCTAAGATTCCTTAAAGGTGGAGTAGTACTACCACAGCTGGGTGCTCTAAAAGAGCACTTATGACCTAAAATGGTCCGATTCGGTATCTGTAAATGAAGACGTTCAGTAAACCTATTGCTTCTTTGAAAAAAAAAAAGACACTGATCGCTTCAACTCATCAAATGAGTCCCAAGAAAATTTTTTTGGCCACTGATTATACACTATACTTAATAAATTAACATAATGTGAATTCCATTTTTAAGTTGAGGACAAATAAAGTTTAACTGAGATGTAACAGCCTTCTCGTATTTAATAGCAATGTGTTGTTCTTTCCAAATAAAAAACAAAATTTGACATCACATTGAACAGAGCACATTTAATATGTCAAAAATATGACTTAGTTGAAAGTGTCCAATACACCTTTAACTGTGCTTACCCAGCTGATATGATGACATCATCTGACCTTCCAACAAACCACAGGTACCCCTCCTCATCACAGTAAGCTCTGTCCCCAGTCAAGTAATAGTCTCTATGAAAACTTGCACTGGTGCGCTCCTCGTCATCCTTCATGAAAAATATGGAATTGAAAAATATCTGACATCTGGTTCTCAGACAGCTCACAGCACATCCATATTTGAGAGCAGAGAGCAAGTTCCATCAAACTGTTTTATATTACAGTGAAATATTGCTTTTTATCATGTAATAATTAGTATAGAACAAAAAAGGAAAATGTTACAAGCACTGCTAAATGTAAAGAAATGTCAGTTTATGTCAAGGAAAAGTAGCAGCTGTTTCAGGTGCTTTATTTTCTAAAATTGTGCCTCACAATTTAAAAATTTTTTCTTGGTATGGTCAGGACTCAGAACTCTATGTATCCCCACTGTATAAACATTTGTTCTAAAATTGATGAAAGTGTAACTGCTAGTTTTCTCCTATAATTGTATGGCGCAATCTGTGACATGGACTTGTGACATGGGATTAACAAAAAGACAACCTCACTCACATACTTTCATTTATTTCTTCATGATAGTAGCAATAAATACAGAACATAATTGGCAGTGCTTCATAATGCTACTAGGAATTTCCACAATCCAAGTATACTTAAATTCTGTTCATATAAATCAAGCAAAGTGGCAAGTATCTATAAGACTCCGTTCACATGGAAAGTCTATTTTCTAAAAATCTATTTTCTATTGGCGGTATCTTGTAATCACGGTCCCTGTGCCCTGTATATCCCAAGAATTAATTACAGCTTTGGAAGTAACTGGCTCGCACCGTCAGTAATTACGCCGCAGGATATTCAGGGCACAGGGACCGTGATTACAATATACCGTGAATAGAAAATAGATTTTTAGAAAATAGACTTGTCATGTTAACGGGGCCTAAGAGAAGGGAGCCTAATGTTTGTTTTAACAAATGTGCCTAAATTTGAATTATTACTGTAATCTGTCCATGTGGTTTAAATACAACTCTTAAATCTATTTTTTGCTGCCAAAAAAAAAAAAAAAAAAAACACTTGGTATACTGTAAACTGAAGCTCCCTGAAGAGAAATAATGAAATCTAAGAATGCAATCTTGATACAAGCTGGTTACAGTCTTCTGCTAGGGAACCTTACCTCCAACCCTCAACTGAGGAAATTTATGTGCAATTTATTGTAACATGGAGATTATCCAAGATGAATAACATATGTCACTGGTATTCAATTTCATATATACCACGGGAGGTTCACTACTTATTGCTGTATATTTTGATAGATCACTCTGTAAATGACAGTCTCTGTGTACAACATTCATACTGGTATAATTTTATAATTTATATAAGCACATATATGTCCCAAAGTCATAATTCTTTGTCTGCATATCCTACAAAGCTACTTATTTTCCCCAATTTTCAGACCTTTTTTCATTTAGAAAATGATATAACAGATTATAAAAGCACCCGATGTTGATATTTTTTCTGAAATATACAAGAAGACATGGAAGTCTAAACTTTACCAGAAATATTAAGCGCTAAATTACTTTATTAACTAAACAACAATGCTGACAAATATACAGACAACAAACAGCAAAAAAATTTTAAAAATGTATACAAAAAATAAATAAAACTTATCATCAGAAATCTGCATTTTTACCAAACACATCTAATAAAATTTTAAGTAAAGCAAAAATATAGTAAATATAGTGTCTGTGTATAAAAATGGTATACACGTTTGTATTACACTGAATCACTGAAGTGCAAGAGCATGTTAATTGATTAATGTGAGTATGATTAAATTTATTTTCCAATAAAATTTGATTAGACAACTTCATGAACATTCACCCCACCAACCCCCTCCTTGATAATCAGATCATCTGTTAACCATGTGTAATTGATTAATCTCTGTTGGAAGAGTACAGAAACAAAAAAATAATAATATTTTAGAAAGAAGAGCTCTTTACTTCACTTTTCTGAATTAATGTAAAAATTATAATTAAGTACATTTAGTCTCCATCTTTCACGATAAGATCATCTACAGCTGTGTTAAGGGATTCAGCTCAGGTAGAGCATTTTTATCTTATCAGGAATAATTTTCACTCACCAGATACCCAGTGAAGAGGCCAACAGGCCTGTCAGGCTTGTATTTCACAGCAATGTTTCCCTCCTGGCCTGGTTCCAACTCGTTCCCTTCCTGATCAATTACCTGGCATATAAATAATAGAATAAAATGCAGTTTTAGGGAGCATTCACAATCAGTTGATCCATACATTAACTAGTCTGTGGATGAAATATGGCATGAACTTGAAAGCAAGCCTCATTATCCCCTAACAATAATGGAATGGATTACCAGCCTCCCATGTGTGCCTTCTCAACAGGGCCAGAGAAATTTAATATTGGCACATGTTTTTAAGTGGGTTGCACGTACCATACTTGATCCATGGACTAGTTAGTCTGCTGATCAACTAGTTGTAAATGCTCCCTTATACATCAAGCATAATGTTAATCATCAAAGGAGAGAAGACTGTATTCAAACTTGTGGTTAATTACACAAAAATTCCTAACAGCTGATTTACTCTAATATTTTATTTTAATAAACTATATTATCTTCAGGATCTCACAGAGCATACCTTCTGACTTGCAGTCAACTCACTTTTCTAACTTTTGATACCATCCCTTTATTATTGACAAAATTATTTTAGGAAAACATAATTTACAAGACTTTTTGTGTGAAAAAGTGGTCCTTTTTACCTCCTCAGTTGATCCAGCTTTGCCTTATATAGAGAGGTGCTCTAGTACATTCCCTACTGTACATTTGTTCTTGAGCAATAATCCACGATAACATAATTATAATAAAAACCTGATCAACTCCTTCTGAATGCACTCATTAGAACTGCTTTAATTGGTCCAGGTCTTACAGTCACACTATTTAATTAAATTCTGGGCTAAATCATTGAATCCCCCCCTCCCTTCATCCCCATCCAAAAAAAAAGTTTCTCTCCTCCACTGACCTGGATGTCATAACCAGGGGCTGGTTTTCCCATAGATCCCGGTTTGTTCTGTAGACATCTAAAACTTCCACACAGCAGCACCTGCAACATACAGTTGTGTATTAATTCAACACACACACATACACAATACTAAAGAGATTATCATATAAGTTTAAGAAGCTTATCATATGAGTAGAAAAAAGCAGAAAAAATATATACACGAAAAAGGTTGTATTGACTCTCACACCCCTGTACTACTAAACATGCTATATGCTGTAAGTTTTTACATGTACTAAGGGCTAGATCTGGACAAAACTAAAGAATTAATCAAATCAAAAGTAATATGGATGAAGATAAAATATTCTTGAGCAAAGGCAATTAATATAAGTAACTGGAAAAATTTCACATTATTACCCTGGCAGTATATCTCTTTGCTTCAGACATGAAAATTGAATACAATACAATTAACAGCAGGAGTTGGAATTTGTGCAGGAATGGCTAATTGCCACAACCTAACAAAAGGAAGTCGCTACTTACTGTATGCTTTACATCAAGTAGCCAAAATTATTTTTTTTCAGCCAAGAGTGAAAGTATGTCACATTTTCAAGTCCAACATGTACGTATACTCACTGTTTCAGTTTGTCCATAACCTTCTCTGATTGTATGTTTAGTATGCTCCTCCCACACCTCTGTCACCTCTGGATTCTAAAAATAAATCAGAGTTAAAGGGATAACAACTGTTTGTAAGGGCGCATTCCCATAGATTTTAGATCGATCTATTCCCGTGGGGAGTCTCACTAGATTACTGTCAGATAATCCGGCTTAAATGTCCATCCGGCCTACTACAAGCTGTAAGGGGGTAATTAACTTCCGTGCGCGGTCGGCTGACTGCAATTTAGCGTGAACCCCCAGGGAGTTAGGTCGATCTAGTAAGATCCATCTAAATCTCTGGAAATGCCCTCTAAGTTATCCATATTTCACAATAAATGCATTGTAAACAGCATACAGAAATATAATAAATTCCATTTTTCCACTAAAACAGTGTTAAATGCAATTATTCTGGAATTTGTGCTTGTCATCATATCACGTGACCTCCACAGATGGCTATACTCTGTAAAAATCTTTTAAGAGAATATTACAAAAAACCAAACTTTTTAGAAAAAAACAGGGACTCTTTTGAATGAGGGAATGGATTCATTAACCAATGGTAAGTATGGGAAAATTGTCCTTTACCCCTGGATAATTCATTTTTGGCCAAAATGAACAGTTGTTATCCCTTTAATCCATTTGCAAATGGTTGGCACAGGTCAAGAAACCCCCCTCCCCCACCCCCTCTCACTCCCTCCTCCTCCCTCCACCCTCTACCAAAAATATCTCCACCTTGGGAAGCCAACTTACAGCATAGAATACACTTACTTTTGTTTTGAAGGAGCTTTATGTTTACATACAAAAAGCAGAAGTTGTGCTTGCCCTATTTTTCAAATCACCATGCATACACCACACTTAAAAGTCAATATATAAGATATGACCAGCTAAAACATATACTAAACAATCAAAACATAGCCATTTTTGCCTGAATGTTCTCACCCTCATTAACTAGGCAATAAACTTATCGTTCCACTGATGAATGGATTTGAATGGTGATTATTGTGTAATATGTGAAGATGAAAAGTTAAATGTTGACTAAGGTAAACACTCTGATGTGTGGAGCATGTGAAAAGTTTTATGTTGAAGATGTAAAATGCAATGAGTATGTTCAATATGACACTGCTAAAGTCTTATTCCTCATGATTAATTTGTACCATGTGTGTTACGTATGACATGTCTTAACTAATGCTTCTTGTTTTGTACGTATGTATGTGCAGGGGCTGATCCAGAGATATTTTCTGACAGTCTTCCAAATTATCTTTGTTGATCCATCTTCCATCTGACCGACAGAAGGAATAAATACCCATCAATGTAAACTTAAAAATCTTACCGTCTTCCGGAAGACCCAGAAGACTGCCTAAATCTGCCCCTGCAATGTCTCTGATTGTGTTTAGTTTGTCAAGTGCCCACAGTGTCATACCAGTGGTTCCCCAGCACTAAGGCAATGTCTCAGTGCCTTGAATTCTCGGTCTTTCAAGTCTTGCTGGGCAAACATACGATATGCTGTGGGTGCTGTACAAAATGTTGATATGGGATACTGCTCCAACATCTGTAAAGAATTGAAATGGAGGCACGATTACTACTGAAGCTATAAAGCATGGGATTTAAAGCAAGAAAGCCATCTGAAAGCACAAACAGTAACTTTTGTAGTAGTTTGTAGTAGTTTAATAATCCTTAGAGAAAGAGTTTTTAGAGATAAAGATATGAAAACAATCCTGGATTCTTAAAAGATATTTTTAAATAAATAATTATATTTTAAGATTGAGTCTTATTTCATGTTCATTCCCTGATTCCTTCAGAAATATATCTACAATGTATATTTATTTTTAAAAAAACATACATAAAAAAAAAAACAAAGCCCAACACAAAGTTTTTAGATATCAGTAACATTCCAACTTGGTCTTTGACATTATTTCTACTCAAGAGCAAGTGAAAACTTACCCGCAGTGTTTGTTCTGCATCAAAACTAGGACTGTGGTGTGCAAAAATGCAAGCACCTTGTATCCAGGGGGCGAAGAGGCTGCTCCAGGCAGACTTGGCCCACCCAGTATCTGACATGTTCCAGTGAATATCCTCTGGAGTCAGGTCCAGCCAGTATCTACAAAAATTTCAAATAATAATAATTTGAAAACTTAAAGCAATTCTGTAATATTTTTCAAAATGATGTGTAAATGTTTAGAAGATTATGTTCTGCTTAATATAATTAGCAATGTACATTAAATATAAACTTTATGATAAACTTCAAAGCAAAATATTTTATATACTCAAAACTGTTGCATAAATGAAGTATGTTCCACTAAATTTTTCACATCTTAATATAGAAAAGCAATTTAAATATTCTGTTTCATAAAATAATTGACTGTTTTCTAAATTCATTATCAACAGAACCAGGTGTATAGCCAGCAACCAAGAAGAAAAATAGATGCTGACAATAACCTACACCTCATCAACTAATTTTTACTCAGTCAAAAATTATAAGAAAAAAATAGTACTTAAAATGCTCATTCTACACTTTTATTAGTAAATGCTCATTCTCATTAAGAAAATCTGATACATGCTTACTTTCCAGTGATAACATGTGCCATCCCGTAGCTGGCGTGAGTGTGTTCCACCATTTTGGGTAGACCAGTAGTGCCACTGGTGAAGAACAGAGTCATGGGGTCGGAACTCAAACTATCTATACACTGAGGTGAAAACAAGAGACAACACATTCAAAGCAATTAAAAAGCAACTGGGTGCTAATAAAACATAGGGTACTCTGTAGGAGCAAGAAAAATGCATGATTTAAAAGTAAGATTGCCACAACATTATTCTATGGATTCATTATTTTTAAATAAATTAAAAATCAAAGTTACTCAGGTGTGGTTCATTTGGTTCTAAGTAATATTCTAGATAAAAAAAGTTGAAGCAAAGGAACAAATCATTAATCTCCTTCTGATAAAATATTTTCAAAATTGCATCTACAAGCTGGTTTACTTGTGGACATGGTGCAAAGCAAACCCACAGATGAAATATAAAAGGAAAGGACTAAACATAAAAGCCATCACATGAACCAAATATGAGGCAAGCCACTGTCTGATCTGGATCATTACCCTAAACCAGGCTTTATATAGGAAAAACCCGAATCTGAAAAAATACCCGATGAAGCAATTTTCCTATGGTAACAAAATGAACATGCTAAACATCACATTAAGCAGCAAGTGAGAGAAGAACACACATTCAACACCCACCTTATGTTCAGTGCTGCCCCCTTCCATCAAATGACTAAGACCAAACCAGCCTGGCCTGCAAAGATGCACAGAAATTACAGGGCAGTACCAGAGCATTTTTTATTAAATATTCTCTATTTTTTTCAAAGGTATTTTAACTCCTTGCAAAATCATAAAGCTACCACTGTGCAAAAACTGCAATTTTGAACCAGTTTAAAAAAAGGCAAGGAATTCCTCTAAAATCTAATGTGGTTAAGTCTAGTGAACATATGTGATCTTGAAAACTTATAAATTACTTTTGTGTTTGAAAATCATATGAATGGAAAAAAACTATAAAATTATTTAGGAAAATAATTTATATTTGCTTATTCTAAAATCCACAGGGCTTTACTGTAGTTTATTTTTATTCCTTACTTAAAGTATTTCCCCCTATATCCATCATGGGCACATTTCATTAAAAATATACCTTATTTTTTCTGCACCAACTACAACCTTAGTCTTCAGTGTGGGGCAATCTCTAGCAATCTGAAAGTTAGATACAGAAATCTCAAGTTATGAAGAGGTATATAAAAAGGAAAAGGTTTATTTTCTGTTCATATGCAAGACCTCACAAGACCTCTTCAGCGATATTACCAGAGAAAGAGATGACATACTGACATGAAAAACTGATGCAGAGAAATTTATTACTCTACCATTACAATTACTGGTTTCAAAAAATGATTCACTGTCTTGAGACAGGTACATAAAATAGAGAATGATGGTTTCTATAAAAAGTATTATGAAACTTTCTTCTTCGATCTACTTTTCATTAAATATTCTACCATTTGCATACAAATACACTTTGTTTTCAGATAACATTCTAATGTGAATCACATGATAAACAATGAATAAATCTACTCAATACAGAAGCACTGGTTTTATAGAACCCCTCAAAAATACACATGGTCCCACCTTCTGCACCTCCGTTGCACCTGCCTCATCAGTGATGATACACTTGGCGCCAGAGGCCTGGATCCTCTGCATGATGTCTTTAGGGGTCAGCAACACTGTGCCTGGACACAGAACTAGCCCTGGAACAACAGGATTACATTCTTAAAGAACTTTTTGAAGTTTCAAACAGTATCATATTCTATTGTAATCCATAACATTGTTTTTAAAAACTCAGTGGTTTGTCTACTTAGCTACCTTGAATTTCCATGTTTCAATGAACTTGCTGTTAGCGCAGCGATACTTCATAAGAATAAATATATTATAAAACTGTCTCAGATTGGATGGGTCTACTGAGGCTAGCTCTCAACAGAAGCATACTCTGAAGTTTAATCACAATATCAACTTTGTATAGTATTAATTCATACTGATTTACGCCTTCTGTTGACCGTTACACATTCCACCATGATGGTACCCAGTGTAGTCAGAGATCCAGTCTTGGACTACAAGTTCCCTAGGGCTGATTCCCAATGAAACTATCATTCTACATAGATCAATCCAACTCCTCAGGGACTCTCACTGAAATATTTATCTGATAATCTGATCGCATTCAACGAGAGTCCCCATGAAGTTGGATCGATCTACGTAGAACAACAGTTTTATAGGGAATGAGACCCTACTAAGTCACCAATCACTTTCACAACTGAGGTAAGTAGTGTGACATTAGTTTGACTTGTGACTTAATAATTATCAGAAAACCTGCTGAAATGTATGTACATCCAACAACTTGACAGGGGCGTCTTGATAGCCTGAGGGTTCATTGGTCCGAATAATCATAGCATTTTCATCAGTTTTTTAATATTCATTGGTCTAAAGGTTCTATAGTGAGCATTCAGGCCAACGAACATTTGGACTATTGAACCTTCAGACTATTGCTACGGCCCCAACTTGACAGGTGACATATCCTCTCTCTCTCTCAGTTCTATACATACCTCTACCTATTGAACCTTCAGACTATTGCTACGGCCCCAACTTGACAGGTGACATATCCTCTCTCTCTCTCAGTTCTATACATACCTATCCTCATACAAGCCAGGTTGATGACCCACCATTCTGGTAGCCGTGGTAAGATAACTATCACTCTATCCCCCGCTTTCAACTGACATTTCACAGACATGCCATTAGCCAACCTGATGGGGAATACATTATTTGAATGAATAAATATATAAATAAATCTACAGAATCTCTGTGAAATAAGCACCCCCCCCCCCCCCAATCCATCCAACCAGTACCCTTAGAATAAAAATTCTCTGAAAGGTAAAAGCAATGAAGTTCACAATAATGATGTGAATGATTTGGCATTCATCATGACTTAATGTATTATGAATGAATGCAATCTTTAAAAACAAAGAACTTTTCCTGAACAAGATTTCTATGCATACCTCTTGGCATCCGTACATACCTCTTGGACAGTATTTCCATGTGTTTAAATGTCCACTTGAACTCCTGTCCATAGTCATCCACCCACCATAGGGCAGTCCTGGCGCTGTGCTGAAGAACAATCAGAGAAAAAGAGGATATATATTACTCTTTAATGATGAAATGCATTTATCAGTATATAACAAACCACAAGGCTTTTTGACCGATTGTTCAATGAATTAATCCAAATGAATGTATATATATATAGTAATTTTCTAGAAAAAATTACAAATGAAATAGTGTAAATATATAGTTACTAAATATCTAAAATAAAATTAATCAAAATGACCCCAGCAACATCTATAAACTAAAAAAAATGTAACACAATTTATATTCATCTTTTCTGGGAGAAAACCTTCTTATAATATTTACAAGTAAACAAGAGAGCAATTCAGCAACAAATCAGCTGCAAATTTTTTTTTTTTTTTTTGCTATGGGTACATGAAGGTTTAGAGCATGCACATTATATGGCTTTAAGTAAAACAACCCATAACTAACCTGTGCTTTACTAGACCACTGGTCAAGTACATCTCGAGCAAAATTATATTTTTCAGGAACAATCAGTTGAAACTTCTGTCTTCCCTCTTCATAATTATTGAATCCTGTTGCTGAAGGTGCAGGACCAGAAATGGCTGACTGCTGCAGCAGACAAGGTGCTGTGCTAAATTGCCATCGAGTCTTGTACTGCTGTCTTTCACTCTTCAGAACTGCCTTGATCTGTCCAACTGATCTTTTCATACTCCCTGCAGCAGCTGACCAAGCTTAGAAATTACACAAAATGCTAACATGTTATTATTAAATATGGTGATAATTTAAATTTATTATGTTACCTAAAACTATGGAAGTCTACTTTTCAAGATGGATTTTTCAGTGTTTATCTTAAATGTCCTATAAGCAAACCTGTTGAACATCCATGATTTTAACATAATAATACTTGACAAAATAAAACACTAAAATTCCGATAACCCATGCCTTTCAGACCTATGCCCCCTCATAAAATAGCTTATAATAAAACAATATAACCATCATAAAAATTTACATCTCTTAGACCCCATTCCCATAGATATTTAGATCAATCTATCCCCCTGGGGAGTCTCACTAGATTGGTTTCAGCTTAACAGGCTTAAATGTCTATCCCGCCTACTAAAAGCTGTAAGGGGGTAATTAACTGTGGTGTGCACTCAACTGACAGCAATTTAGCGTGAACCCCCAGGGAGTTAGGTCGATCCAGATGGATCGATCTAAATCTCTGGGAATGCAGTCTTAGTGCCTTAATTTGTCTTAAAATCTAATTAGGGCATTTTAATATGAAACATCTATATATATTTATACCCCTATGGCCCAAATCATAAATAATTTACATAAAATAAGGAGACATGCATTTAATTCAAATATATGGAGAACTCAAATAAATATAGGGACCAAGCACTTAAAAAGCATCTGTAGTCTTGCTAGCTTTGGGAAGAAATCCTGTCAGTTACCATCAGTTACTGGTTAATAGAGTCTTTTAAAATTAATTAAAATTCCCAGTGTGCCCTATACTGCAGTATGTCTCAATGCTGTCTACTTCCTACAAATAGTAAACATTGTGTTGGGTGTACAATTAAGTCTATAAAATGTATATGGACACGATATACTTGTATGAAACAATGAAATGGTTCATGGTTTTATTCTGGCAACACATGCAACAACTGCTTCTTTAAAGAATTGCAACCAAAACCCACATGTTTCTCTGTATTTCTGCTTTCCAATCACACCAAAGTAAAAACACGGGCCAGGGCCAGGGCCAGGGTAGCAGAGAATGTCAGGAAACTGTCGACACACGGGTGCATGTGTATGATTGACTGTCATACCCATTATGCTTATTGCAGTAACCTGGATAATCGTAGTAATTAATTAATGTCCACCTGTGCAACAGCAGCGTATGACCATTAAGGTGATTGGACAACATATAATATTTGGACGAACGACCAGCACAATATATTATATATGTCTTTAATATGTAGGCTTAGGGTAGGGCGGGTCATCACTCAGCGTCGACTTCAGGTGGTTATTCAGTCGGATCAAATGTAATCAGGATGTAATGCAGGTTCAACAATTCAATCTTACGCAAAAAAAAAACGCAAGCGCTTTCCCGATGATACTTCATACGGTTCATATACCTCTACACAGCTATGGACCATCCAGCAACCATCAAACCATGTCCCAACCCGTTGTACGTTCCCTGTACTAGTACTGTTGTTGTCGACCCAATCCGTTCACTTGACCTAATTAACTAGCTGCATGTGCTACAGGTTGACCCATTTACGTTGCACGTCGTTCTCATACAGTGTACTCGAACTTTATTTTTCTGTCTTATACTAAGAGCAGCATCTCTGTAAAACAAAGGAGGTAAATTACTGGGACGAAATTCCTCCATGCACCTTTAAGGCTTTTACATGTTTTTTGTTAAACAAAACCTTCAATAACCTCCGTTTTTATGTACAGACACTGCTAGATGTATCTGTACAGTTAGCCGCCTCCAGTGTCTGACGTCGTCGGCGTCGCCGTGCACTTCCAGCTTTCAGTGTTATACAAAAATAAAATGAAAAACGGTTTACCTTTTGTCTTCAAATTTACAGAACAGATGAATATTCATAAAATAAGGTTAAGTTCGAAAATCAGAATAGTTGGTCCATTTTACAAAAGTCATGCTGTTTTTTTTTTTTTTTTTTTTTTTTTCAGCATATTTTATCCACCCTTATAGGCCTACATATAACATGAAAACCGTTTTACCTTTTGTCTTCAATCTTACCGAACTGATGCAAATTCATCAAATACAGGTCAGGTTCGAAAATCAGACGCTTTTATCAGCTTATTTTGCCCACCATTATGCAAATAAAATGAAACCCCGAACAAGAATGATGGACCTACAACTCAAATTGGCAAATCAGCTTGATTGGTTTATTTTTCTTTCTTTCTTGTCTGTTTCTTGTTTTAATTATTTATAATAATAATAATAATCTTTATAATAATCTTTATTGGGAAATCGCAACCCGAAGGTTGAAGTTATACAATTATGTCATTTTTATTTTATTATTAAATGAAATGAATATTTTAAGTCAAGGAAGCCTGGTCATTTTTGCACTGGTGCACTCTGTAGACGGTCTCACCTCCCTGGGGAGGATACAGCTCGGCTGCCATATTAGGCACTCAGAGCTAATATATCATTTCTACACTGCCTGACCAGGCCCCTGCTTCAACCCCTTAGTGCTGAGTGCCAAGCGGGGAGACAGCAGGTACCGTTTATAAAGGACTGGTATGTCCCCGGACGGGTTTTGAACCCACGTCCTCCCGCTCCGGAGGCGGACACTCTAACCACAAGGCCATCATTTGTTTATTGTTTGCTTGTTTGTTTGTTTTTAAATAGGCCTGCATTTAGTCATGGCTTAGATGACCGACAAGTAGGCCCTAAATATCAACATCGTACGACACATGCCTATACCTTGTTCGTTTGTATAGGCTAATTTATAATCATTATCCCATAAAATGTGCAATGTGCGCGCACCTCTAGATCTAGCACATAGGACATGCGTTAACACTCCTATTTCTGATAACTGATATGTTCCGGCTTTGCTTACTCTGAATCCAATGAGCTAGGATACACCCAACAATATATGGTGGGTCCCGAACCCCCATTTGACTGCTGGACATCAATTATTTCTAATTCGAATCACGTACGGACTATATAATAAGCTCGAAGTGCGTGCGTGAAAATAGATGTCCAGGAAGCCGGATGTGAAAACAGATGTTTGAAAAAGAATCACATATTCAGATATTGTCGGTAATAAATGAAAATCGTTTCTAAAGAGAGTAAAACGCATTTTTTAAAGCCTGTAAGGCATGACAGCGTTAGGCTCAAAGGCCTCCACGATGACAGGTCGAAACGCCATGCCTCACAGGTGAAAACATGTTTAGTGTCAATTAACAATTTGCCTTTTTAACCATCTTAAAAAAAATATGATAAGAAACTATTCGCCGTTTTAAACAGGCTACTTTGATCATTTTAGTTACATAGCTCTTCGAAACGCTTGTCACTGGACGTTCGTCAAATCGATCTGGACTTTTGACAAACATTGTTAATCCGGAAATATATTTTTTTAAAATTGTGCAATGTATTATCCAAACTGGATGTCTATCCATCCCCATCAGCTTGTCTTAAAAAAAAAAAAGCCGCGCTGCGGTTCGGTAGGCCAAGTATGTGGCAAGGTATAAATAGCTAAGATCGAGTTCAGTGGCATTCTTAGTCGCTAGGTCCCAGGATTCTGTTCTCACGCACCTGTACGCATATAAGTGTAATATTAGGCCTTTGTTTAACTGGAAACAAAAACTTGCGCTCCGTAACTGTACAATATTTACTGGAAGATGCTCTGCATTCGATTGGTATGTTAACATTTTAGTAATTATTAATCTTAAGAAGATGGTTTGTTAAAAGGATAACAACTGTCCATATGAGATTCATATTTCACAAAAAATGCATTGTAAACAGCTCAGAAATATAATATATTCCATTTTACCACCAAAACAGCGGTTATTGCATTCTGGAACCTGTACTAGCCAGCAGACCACATGGACCTTCATAGATAGCTATTCCTCCGTAATAATCTCCTAAGAGTTGATTATAAAAAAATCTTTTTAGAAAAATATCCATGGACTAACTCTATGTCCGAAAGGATTCATTAACCATTGGTAAGTATGGGGAAATTGTCGTTTACCCCAGGAAAATCCATTTTTAGGCTAAAACGAACAGTTGTTATCCCTTTAACATAATGAAGTGACAATGAGTATTAGAGTCATGATTTGAAATCTGAATATATGTATTCATTTTATCACAAAATGTTTATTATTATTATTATTATTATTATTATTATTATATTGTTGAAATATTCGATCTCAAAGTAACAGAAACGTTTAGTGACGTAAGTCTCTCTCTATAGTTCGTGCATGGCGAAGTTTTTTTAAAGTGGGTCTGTCAGTATCTTTATTTTTAGATACTTAAATAAAAATATCTGTAACTCTACGTATGCTAAATGGCCACTGTTAAGAGATTAATTTTTTATCGGTAAGACGCTCTTGTCGGTCTTGCACTTGGAACTATGACGGCTTTGTTAAATACGTACAGGACATCTGGGTTGGGTAATTTACTGACTAGATTCTGGATTGACGTTTGTCATAAGGGCACCTGACGCTGCCAAGGCTTAAAGGAAATAACCCAAGAATTGACGGTGATAAATGCAAGAGTTGTAAGACATTTTTTTTTTCAAAAGAAACGTGAAAAATGATATGTAAATATAGGTTACATCCTGCGAAATTTCCGCTCTTGTAATTGCTAAGCAGCTTTTATTATTATTGTTATTATTACTTTACGATTGATAGTTTTCACGACCTCTCTTTTGTACCGCTTTTTCTCACTCTTTTTGTCTCTGTAAAACAAATACACATTCTTGCCGAAACTTTGTTTTCTAATGAGAGCTATTTTATCACAAGGGCTTTCAACGATGAATGGCAGGTTTTTCGTCATATTTTACTTTCTTGTATGACACGTTAAGAGAGATGTATATTAGGACGCTAAAATTAAGTGTTCCTAAAATTTATGTATAATGTCTCTGTGTGTTATGTTCAATCCATGGCAATGGGTATTCATCCTGTATTATGTCCTCTCAAACTTAAGTACCAACCACCATGTTATGAACGGCAGTTTAAAATTATATTAATTCATGTCCCTTAACAAGAGTAATGATTCATTCTCCATGGCCATTTATAAACGAATGCCCCGGTAAATATACTAAATATTCGTCGGGTGTGCCCAGTTTTCTTTTTTACTTTATGAACTTGGACTCTCTCTCTCTCTCTCTCTCTCTCTCTCTCTCCATGCATTTTATTTCATGTTTGTAAAAACTACTTACATGTATTGGTTTTGATGCTTCATTAATTTCAGATATGGCTTCCCGCACTTGTTATGATGCTCGTCAGGAATGTGACGTCAACTGGTAAGAATCTTACTGCTTCAAACGACAATCCTTTTTTCGGTGGAGGAAATAAATTAATAACAAACATACAACTATTTTCCTAAAGCCGGTTTTTTTTAATATTAACATCTGATATATACTGGTAACTCAAAGGCAGAAGGACAACTTTTTGTATCGGAATAGCTAGGCCTAAGGCGACCAATGTAATAATTACCAAAAACAGATTTGTTCCGTCACAAAGCACATTTAAAACACATTTTCAAAGCTATTTGTGATATATCTTGTATTGTGGTACATTTCTCTCGCAGTTACTTGTGATATACCTTGTCTCGAACAAGACGCTATCTACCCTCATCCTACCGACTGCAGCAAGTACTGCCACTGCTCCTGGGGTACACCCTACGAGAAGACGTGTCCGCCCGACCTGCTCTTTAACGACCTGTACAAGTATTGTGACTGGCCAGAAAATGTGGTTTGCTCAAGCTCTTCCACAACCAAATCGACGGTGACAGACGGTAACACCAGCGAGTTGACGGCGATACCAACGACACAATGTAAATATTGTCATATTTTTTCTTTTTTTCTTTTTTATCAACTGAATTATCAAGTAACATACGTACAGGTGGTAGTGGGAGTGGGGTTAGAGACATTTTTGCCAGGACGGCTCCGCATACATGAGTAGCAGTTCGCAATTCAATTTGCACTCTTTCATGGCATCGATTTTAATATGAAGCCACATATTTCACAAAATATCATTTTGCAGATCAGCCACCGAAGAAAAAGGTCGTTTGTTACTACACCAACTGGTCACAGTATCGGCTTGAGAATGGCTTTTTCCCCGAGAACATCAACCCGGACTTGTGTACTCACATCCTTTTCGCCTTCGCTCAAATAGTTTGGGACCCTTCTACAGCCCAGTATCACCTGGCCACATATGAATGGAACGATGCAGGTAAAGTAACAGACAGAGATAGCATTAAATTGATTGGGGAATTTTTATTTATCCAGTGCAGTGAGTGATGGGCGATAACGGGCTAAAGGGTTTCAAAACGGCGCAAAAGTGGAAAACTTTGGAGATACTGACGGTCTGAAGGATTTGCACTGCAAGAAATTTGCAGGTCCGAACTAATAACTTTTTTGTTAGTCTACGTTTACATGTGATTTATTATTATTATTATTATTATTATTATTATTATTATTATTATTATTATATTTTAACATAACCCTTGCAAGTCCAGCGGACCTGCGATGTCAAAATTCTTGCAGGTCCTCTGGCATTTCAAGCGGTCATATAGCACGACCAGTCGGGCAGTTAGTTACCACGCGTCTTTATTATAACAAACGGTTACATCTACCGGTACTTCGAAGTTACAGCATTTTACGTTTTATCAAAACAAAACGCTTCTTTAGGTACGAACTGCGCGTTGACTAAAGATGTGCACTTGCTCTCATTTGGAATCATGTCTTTTAAGTCTTTAATGCGCTTATAAATTTGTTTTGCCTGTCCTAACTTTGTTTAGATTTGAACACATCTATCTGTTTTAAAATCTCGATTTACAGCTATGTACAATCGAGTGATTCAACTGAAGACGCAGAACCCTTCTCTCCGAGTTATGTTGTCGGTGGGAGGGTACTCACATGGACATGAAATATTCGCAAATGCATCCAAGACCGAGTCCACCAGAGCTGCTTTTATCGACAATGTCATTATATTTCTTAGAGAACATAAATTAGACGGCTTAGATGTAGATTGGGAATACCCGGATGGAAGTACTAAGTCACAGTTTAGTGCGCTTTTGCGGGTGAGAATGGCTTTTTTATTCTCAAAATTCTTATTTCTTTCAAATATATAAGTCAGTATATTTTGCATTTTAGCAAGTAATTTAAAATACATAGTTCACGTGCAAGTAAATCCTTATTTGTTTTATACATAATGATATCGTTGTTGAAAAAGTACCATATGGATAATAAGGGGGTGGGCATTTTTGGTTGGTTTGATTTTCGATCACTGTTTGGAAACCTTGAAATTCGTTGTGCTTGTTTTAGTTCGAACACAGCTTTGAGCATTTACATGAACCTAATTTCCGCTCTTCGTTTTCAAAGGAAATACGCCAAGCGTTTGAAAGAGAATCAGAAGAAGCGAAACAGGAACGACTGCTCCTCAGTGCTGCGATGGCTTCTGGTGGCTGGGTAATCAACATAGGATACGATTTACCTGCTATTACACCGTAAGTATGGGGCCATATGCGAAAGGGAGTTTTTTTTTTTTTGTTCTTTTAACTCTGGATTCACCACTGAAGCAGATCTACGTAGTATTTTCCCTTCAAAAATGATCAATATGTTTTTTGGTTGTTTTTTTTTTCAGCATAATTGTAAACCTTTCATGTTTTCCACCTGACCAACCCTATCCAATTAGGCAGCTAGGGTTCGCAAATGATATTTCTTTATCCTGTCTGCATGCGCCTTGTTGGTTTCAAACCTGTGGCTACTTCAGTGCCATTAAAATTTTTTCAGACACAAGATTTGATATATTTGTTATCTAAAAGAAGTAAAATAATGGCGAATAAACCAAATCTACGCATACATTTCTTACTTTTTAAACTTGAATCGAAACCAAGTTAACTGAACGACTTATGTTTGAAATTTAGGAGTCTTGATTTTCTCAACGTGATGACTTATGATTACCATGGCCCTTGGAGTGTACCACAAGTAATGAGACACCACAGCGCCTTGTACAGAAGCAGTATAGATGAAATATATAATATAGTGAGTAAACGTAATGTCTTGCTACCTACTGTCATTACTATTTTTATTCACATGGCACATTTTCAGAAGCAACCGATTTAAGGCCGACATGACCCAGATATTTTCCTTGCGAAATTAATAACGATTTCTATCCCAAGATCCATCCGCATAATTTCGGTTTTCTTTTTTTTTAGTATTAATTTATTTTAAATTGAAGGTCTCCTTCATAAAATCTCATAACCTAACGTTCTCACTTGTAGCAATCAGATTCCAGAAACACGCCAAACCAAGTTAAAAGTATAAATGAACTAATGTTTTCAAAATATCTATTCTAGGATTGGACCATAAAGAAATACCTCGCTGCCGGAGTGCCGAGTTCTAAGCTGGTGGTAGGGATACCGATGTATGGTCGCTACTTCATCATGGCAAATCCAAAAAAACACGATATAGGGGATCCCTTTGTGCTCCCCGAAGAACAAACATACAGTAGTATGCCTTATTACAAGGTAGAGCACCATACTTCGAAAGCGTTTCTTCATAGGAAGTTTTACATTTTCTTAATTCAGCTCTTAATTCGTCAAAATAAGAAAAAGTCTCATCTTTGTAGCATGTATTTTTTCAAAATAAACTTCTCCATATACAAAGACATACATATTAAGGAGAGCGACAATCATGCTTTACAGATGAGCAGTTTGGGAGAATATTCCCGATTCGTGTGCAGAATTATATTTTACTGTGTGGATTTTAGCAATTGAGAGCATGTTTTTCTTCCAAAAGAACAGCTTTAAGAAACCATTGGAACGGATGGCAGTTGATAACATGGAAGTCAGATATTGTGAGGTCATGAAACATCCCTGGAATATTTTCAGATTTGCGAAAAGCGAAAGCTCCCTGGGTGGAGCGAGACGTTGCACCCTGAACACCAAGTGCCGTACGGCTGGTACGATGATAAGTGGGTGGGGTTTGATGACGTCAGCAGCGCTCAACGAAAGGTACTGGCCAACAGGGTATTTGTACGAGTCTCGTTGGACCACCATTTCATTTGTCTGTTTTAGTACCAGTATGTTGATTAATTGAATTTAATACCGAAGCAGAAAATTGTAATTAGATTTTTGACTGTTCTATGAAAAGATGGATCTCCGTTATTATCAAATTTATATTCCATGAATAAAGTCATAAAAAATGATGTTTGCATAATTTTTCGATAGAAAAAATACAATATACGCGACTAAATGCACATTTTTTAGGAAATAAACTTTCTTTTTTCTTTTTTTAATAAGCTCCCGGACTTTAATTCCAGGCCCAGTATGTATGCAATCAAGCCCTTGGAGGGATCATGATCTGGTCTTTAGACTGTGACGACTTCAGTGCCAGTTACTGTGGGGAAGGCAAATATCCACTGCTCTCCAAGATCAATACCGTGCTGGAGACTTGTTCTGGTTCTTCTTGAACTGCGGATATTGGGGGCACAAACTGGGGGCACATCTACCACATTTTGAACATTGTGAACCAGACCTTGGCGTGGATAGTCTTCAGCACCACTGTCATGTATTTTGATGGCAACAGCTCAACTTTCTTCTGTTTAATGAAGTCTGATTACCCTCACGTTAATAATATCTAAATTTCTTATTATCTTGAAGCGGTTCTACAATTTCATTTGTCAAATCTGCCATTTAAAGATTACTTTGTAACTGTGTGAGATTTAATTATCTTTCAAATCAATGCTCAAGATTAACTTTTGTTGAAAATAAAACTGTTGATTTTTAAAACTTGACTGCATGTGCTCTGACAACACAAGATATACTTAATAATTGTTTATTTTTCTATATATGAAAATTTTCAAATAACATTTAGAATGTGATTAAATAGCTAGAAATATAAAAGTACTTTGACACAGTGGAATATGATAACACTAGTCTTAATTATTTAGCAAGCCAAGCACATTCCTCTGCATTAAGAAAATATAAAGTAGAAAAAAGATCTCTGGGTTACCATCATAGCAATGCTCAGAAACAATAATCATGGAAATCCAGAAATAAATTGGTTTTGATCGTATCAATTGAAGTAGCCACCTTGCAGGTAAGGGTTGAAGACAGGATGGAGTTATTGATAAGCATAAGTTTATTTTGTAGACAGGACAATTATTTTATAACAAACATAATTATAACAATAACAATGTGCCCATTACAAAGAATTAGGCGAAAATGACAGAGGACACTATCATTTGAAGTAATATACAGGGTGCATTAGATTGACTTAATATTTCTTTACTTATTATAAATAAGACATTAACTTTGGATAAAGATATACAGCAAGATGAGAAGATCGCAACTGGACCTTCTTTGCACAAATTTCTGGTTTCAGTCATACCAGTCAGGAATACAGTATTCTCTCTAAATAAAAATATTCTTACTTCCACAATAATTCTCACAGCCCTGATTATAAGAACCATCATTCTCAGAGTTCCAAAAACATAAATACGTATATATAGCACCAGTGTCTTAAGTAGACAGTCTTTTCAATATTTTTAAAACAGATATGACTAAAAGACTGCACCAGGGAGTGGTCTACATATCTGTTCAGCCAACAGTTCAGATATAATTGTAAAAAATATACTTAATATAAAAAGCACATATGAAACTCCAACTTGACTCTGTGTTGGAAGCTGGAAGGGGTATCCACCAATTTCATCAACATAGAACCCCATTGGGAAGACTATACCAGCAGTACAAAAGGATATCACTGAAAATAAAATGATTTTATTGAAATAGTGCAGTTCAGTACCTTTTTGAAATACCATATTTTGTTACATTTATACAAATGAATTAAGGAAAAGATATTATTCAATGTCAGTGAATTTTTTTTTTTTTTTTTTTTGGGGGGGGGGGGGGGCTGTTTTTTAAACCAAAATTT